CATGTATGTGGCATCCTTTTCCCTCTGGCAGGGGCGAAGCGTATCTAATTGCACTAACACTCAAAGGTGACATCGGAAAATGAACCGAGTGCTGAGTATGAGATAAATTGACACAAAATAAAAAGCATATAACAAAAATATAGTGTACTTTAATCCCACTTTAATAATACAAGCATTTTCTGTACAATACATTTGCTTAGTGGTCCACTATTGGTATTCTAAACCCCCTTAAGTAAAAGCTTTTTTGATCATTCATCAATTGAACACCTGACCAGGCAGAGTTGGTCTCTTTGCCTTACAAAGCCAGAGGTTCGAGCATAATTAATTAGGGAAAGAGAGCGCTACAAGCTAAGCTTTGAGATGTTGAAAGCTATGGTATCGCCATTTTTTAGATTGACGTCAATATATAATGAAAAAGAATGTTAATAATTCTATCAATAGGAGTGCTCTAGCATAAGTGTTGTGTATACCAATTGAGGAGATACAAGCCTTCCGTTTGCAGGTATCCTTCCTGCCAAACTCGTATACTTAAAATTCAGTCTTCTTCAGTCTGTTTATGTTTCTTCATGACATCATAAAGGGTTTTTTATATGGCCAGTCATTTACAGGGAATGCTTCCCGCGTGTACGTCTTTACGGTGATCGAAAGAGAGAAACAGAGAGTGGCCTCACCATGTCAACTATGTATCCGATCAGTCAAGTATTATGCCTTTACCAACCGAGAAAACACTGTAGCTACGGCCACCCATCAATCGCAATTACCGTATAGTCTATAGCACTTACAATTGAAGTTGGGTATGACGCGCTTCTTACTAGCTTCTTAAAGCTTCATGACTGACTTGGAGAAATTTGCAATATATGCCATAGGAATACATTTAGATCGCAAAGCGTATTTCCAAGATCCTTAAGGTTAATGGAATAAGACGTTTCACTCTCAAACAGAAGATCGACCGTCTGGATATATATCTATAAGAATTTTAAAGAAACTTGTGAAGACCAAAAATTATGCAGTCTTTCAATTCTAAGAAAGCGATGGGAAATTTAAAAAAAAATTATCACGAAAACTCGGGAGGGAATGAAATGGCGTGCAATGCATTTTTTACTTTCTTTGTTTTCGTTGTCTTCATCCTCCTTCATTTTCTGTTATATCATTCCTTTTTTTTTGCTTTTTTGTTTTTACTCAACGAAATAAAGCTTTTTCCATTGCATAACTCCATCTAATGACCGCAACCTTAAGTGCTTTAGCCATTTCGTTTTTTCTACATCACTTAATAAATATCTCCACCGTCATGAACTGTTTTACATAGCTATGGCGTAGTAGCGTTTACTTTCTCATAAGCCGGAGTTTCTTTCTTTTTTTTGTTTTTTTTGTTTTGCATAGTTTTCATCATAATAATTATTATAATTTTTATAATCATCATCGAAGTAATCTTTGGCTATTGTACAAGTACACGCACTTACAAATGTTCCTGTCTCTAATATCATCATTTATAATTTCATTGTGGAAAATAATGATTCCCTAGCACTTAGTATTGCGTATACGTAGTTGTAAATCTTGCACTTTAAAGTCTCCTGAAATGCTGACTTATGGATGATAACATATATATACATATATACACTATATATACAAGTATTTATAATGATTGCTTCTGTGGTTTGAAAGTTTACCCATTTGATTCTAATAGATATCCTTAACAAACATTCATCCATTCATCCATTCATCCATTCATTCGTTCATTCGTTCATTCATTCATTTAAGTTCAGTTTCCTGCAAGTGCATGCAAAGTAATTAGTAAAAAAACAAGAAAAAAAAAAAAAAAAAAGAGACCAAAGACACAGTGCGGTTATCATTTAAGTAGCTATAAACAAAAGGATAATGCATTTTTAATAACAGGTAATTTCCATAATTTACTATCAAATGAACTGAAATTGATCACTTTATAATAAATATTATTACTAAACGTAAATTAAGAGTATTAGAAGGAAATGAGGAAGAGGAGAGGCAAAGAATTCAAATATTATGGTTATTAACAGGAAGGCTTATGCTTAAACTAAAATCAGAGGAAATGTAAGTCGGGCACTCATAATAATGCAAGGAAATGAAATGATGGTCCGTCACTGCATACCATACCTCTTCGCCCACAGATGAAATTATTAACTATTTTATATAAACAAAATGGTCACAATCGAGGGGAACGCATTTTGACTTCTTGTTGAGGTTAATTAGTGAAAGCGATTACTCGTTTCCGCTTCAAAAGGAGATTTAAAGAAAAACAAAATTGAGTAAAAAAGGTACAATGGGCCGGGGTTTCTCTACACTATCACCCATTTATTCATATAACGACTTTTCAATATAAGGCTTTGTACGAGAAATAGTTCAAAGAGTCCTTCGATCCGAAGCAAAAATTATAGCCGGTAGTTTGAACACAAGAAAACAAGGCGGACAGACGGACAGACAAGTAAGGGATATGCTACATCAATAAGTATAATGAAAGGTGCGTCTATCTCAGGTTCTTCTGGATGTTGCTTACACCCGCGAAAACTTAATACGGCCTTGCCTGACAAGTGGTGTAGGGTATAATAACTGGGGAGTATTGCGAAAATTAAAAATTCGTTTCACAGCAAACACAATTTTTTACGCAAGTACTTCCCAGTTTCTTTCAAAAGTCCCTACAAACATGAGTCAATGCATTTGAATAAACAGGCATTGGGCAGCAGGACACAGGGCCAAATTGGTCCCTGATATGCGCGTTTAGTTATAATGATTGTAGCCTCTTGCTCTTTCCAAACCTAAAACACTCGCCTGCACGTGCAGGAGATATCCCCTGAGTAGGTGACGCTACCTTCGTTTTTGTACAATAATGGAAAAAATCTGAAGTTCGTGTGTACCGAATGAAACTAAGTAAGTTGTAAACTAATCGAAGGTATGTCATGAAAATTTGATACATTTCGTTGAGAGATCGGCGTTGTCTAATAATCCTAGGCATTCGTCAGTAATCATCCTATGCACTTATTTAGTGACGTGTTGTACGTGTATGTCACATTAATTAAACGAACTTTGAAAAGGAGAGCAGTATATATCTGTTGAAATAAAAGAAGAAGGGAAGAAACTCTACACGCTTTTGCATTTAATGTTGTTTTATGTAATTAAAACTAAAAATAAATTTGATTAAATTTAAAGGCTGCTCGTTAGCTTCAACGTAAAGGGAAACACCCTTAGGACTAAAAAATATGTCTCTTGCAATTCTATCAAAATATCTTTGTTTAATATCAACAATTTAAAATTTGTATTTTTAATCTTTCATCAAAATCAAATCCCGCTTTAGTAGGTTTCTGTTGTTTTGAACATAACTAAAAATTTATTATTGATTGCTTGGCAGGTCATAGCAATCGTTTATTCAATGTCAAAACTGTGCATCCTTGAGTCAGCCGCAAGCACACTGCAATATTCGTAGGTTGTACATGAAATTTTACTTAGATAGAACTAACCTTACTCTGATAACATGACATCAAGCAATGACATTTATCAATCAATTTTAAAACAGAACAGCAGGTGTTAAGGGTTAAAGCTTTGAAAACTTACTTGCTTTGTAAAATGAAATATCATAAAAAAGAAAATCCGTAAACTGAACTGAAACATGGATAAGAGAAATTTAAAAAGAATTGCAAGAGAAATATATTTAGAAGATGTTTAAACATTCAATTAAACTAACCCTAATACCGCTAATCCTGCCCAGCCAAACCATGACGCCTTGCATACCTAATTGTCCGTAGGTAATATTAAGATATTTGCTAATTCAGGCGAAGAGAATTGCGTTGAAATGAGGCAGAACCCAAACTGCATTGTGCAATGTCGCGTAAATGGAGAGAAAACGCTCCGCAGTTTTGATATTTAACTAACCGTTAACTAACCATCGATCAAATTGTGCAAGAAATCCAAGAAGACACGAGTATGTCATATCACCGCATTGATGCAAATTGATGAATATTAACCAAAAACACTTTAGAATCATTTGCAAATAGGCGTGCGTGAAAAGAACCCTTGGGTGCCACTGCTGGATCAGCAGTGATGAATTTACTAGATCGAATTTACATCGATGAACGATGAATTTGCTTTGAAAAGATCAGATTTATCTGCATAAGCAGTTAAGCAGATAAGAATCGGATATATATTAAGTCAGTGTTTGCGGCATCAAATCTCAATACGATAGAGTTTGCTTTGGTCGTAGCTGTAGTGAGTGGTCAGTCGGCTGCTTGCCTCTCTTCTTCCTTTCTTTCCTCACTTCTTTCGTGTCCCTCTCTGTATTACATAGATACGAGACCTAGAAAAAAGGAAGACGAGTCATAAACGGTAGCAGGTTTCGGATTAATACGACCTAAAGTAATGTTTCGAATGCGGAAGTATTAAGCATTACGCGTCCTGCGCCCTGCGCCCTCTTAAACAGGCGAATGCCAGAAGGCCTTTAGAAGTGATCGAGATGAAAGGCTTCGTCTTTTGTCGAGTTTTAACAACTTTTTCAAAAAATTTGGAAAGTTTGAGTGCGAACTTCTTTATTCCCCCTGCCACCACCTCCCTTCGCTATCTAAGAAACTGCCTTAATGATATAAAGCTGAAATGGATCTTACAGAGAAATAGGAAAAGCTCATCGATTATAACGGTACATATTTGCTTTAATAAGCTTTGTTTAAAATGCAAAGAAAATGCCTCCACGGGTTTCTCATTACCCAATCGCTACTTCAACAGACCGTGGGTAAAGGGGGCTGCGTTCTTGATGGTGTTATCATAAATGTATTATATATTAATTATATGTTAAAACTGCATAACTTATTATATAATAATTGTATTATTCATAAGGTCTCCAGTGTAGCGTTTTGTGTGCCCACTACAACCATCTACCAGACTTAATATACATGTATGCACTATTTTATTCACTTTATACCTTTCAACAATTTACTGACTAGATTTTATTGATTTATTTCGATTTCTTCATTTATTTGTAGGGATCGCATATTCCGTTTAAATCTACAAAATATAAGCCAATCAATATGTGAGGTAAGTTAAAATCAAAAAAAAAAAATGTTTTAATATTATTACGCGTAAAATAGTCGTTTGCGATTTTATTTATTTTATATTCTTAAGGTATCACCTTAAGTTAGCAAAGCTCATGCCTTTCAAAGTAATGTATGGGTGCGCTGCACATCTATATTATGTATGATGCACATCGTGTTGAATTAATGTTGACTAAAGTGTGAAAGCGAAAGACAATGGAATACCAATTGACTTACGTTGTAATATCATCTTAGGTGTGCGTTTGAATACGCGGTAGAGCGTTCCATAGCTTGACACTATATATGTATGTAAAGCAAGTATTCTCCATATGTATCCTTTTAAGACTCAGTGAACCATGCCCAATTTCAGTCTGAGATTTTCTTGTTAAGCCGTTTTAGTTATTCATAAGTGAGATCCGAATTTTTGTTTACCCTTTCGCCAATAGCCAGCTGCATGGACAGCTCAAACCTCATGAACCTGTAGTTGGTTTTTGCATTTTAAGAATTTCGCTTCGGGTAGTTTTCGTGCAAACTCATTCTGTTAAATGTGTATTTATGTGACATAACTCCATGAGTCGCCAGTGCTACCAAACCCGCCAAAAAGGTAGCGTCACTGAGGCAGATGTAATTTGAAAACCAATTGTCAAAATGTCATAGAAGTTTGACACGTGCTATTTGAAGGTTGATACTATCAAAAAATCATATGTTTTTGTGAACAGTGTTACAATGTAGATGTCACACTTTGCTCCATCTATATTTTGTATGTCAAGGAGACTTCAAATATAATAAGAGATCTCTTACGGACCACACTTTATCTTTCGAAATGATTTTATCTATCGGTTACGATAAATATAAAGTAGTCGCTATAAAAAAATCACTCTTCCTCTTCCTTTTCTCTTTGAGGAATTCTTCCTCAAAGTAGCCTTAAGCTCATGGATCGTAACCATTGTAAAATGACATATATATGTAAAAGTATAAATGCCGCATATTTATAGGAGCAGATGCACACACAAAGGCACATGTAACAACAACATGCACTTGTTTGTGCTTTTAAAATAAATCTATCTAGTGTAATAGTGTTTTCAATATTTTGCAGCAAAAGGTTTATATCAAACGACTCGCTTACTTATGCAAGCAGCAACTCCTTCTACATCATCTTTTGAAAAACTGAAATTGTATTGATTGTGTTACTTCACTTGTAACCCAGAAATCTCCAAAAGTATCAAAAATATCTTACACGCGAATTGAATGCGTTTATAGTGGGTGGGTGGAGGATTGGAAGTCCAATGTAAATACATGTATACCACTAGATATTCTGAGTGACTAATCGTATACTTTATTAGGCGAAACACAGTTTCATTTTATGAAAACTGATTCGACGCAAGACAGGATATCGAAATTTAAATAAAGCCTAATAGAGTCAGGTCCGCTATCACAAAGTAACGAAAAAGAAAAAAGAAACACAAAACGCAGGAAAGTTTGTTTGAAATGGCGGGAATCTCACATCTCCCCTAAGATGCGTAGAATTTATTTAATGCTTCTTCACTCTCGATAAAATTGGAATTTGAAAATATATTGATAGTTAGCTACAGATCATTGTCAGTGTAAGGTACTTTGAAATAAAATTTTTCTCACATGATACATTTTTCATACGCATCAGTGTGGATGGGATTTTTAATGCACTTTTCTAAAGTCAAGTGCAGCATTTTATTGCCTTGCATTTGTTCGTTAACTTCAATAGTTTTCCGTTTACAACCAGAAAAAGAAAATCATGTAAAAATTCTCTTTGCCCTTACTTTCATATTCTAAATACAAACAATCTTAAAAGTTATATTAATGTATATATTTTGTGATGTAAAAAGTATTAAGTCTATATATTTAACGTACATCAGTTGTGATAGAGAAGTATATTAAATTTATGCGCACAATTGCAACATCCGGACGAATTGTAAGTAAACCCGGTCGATGCAGAACCACTTTCTGAACCTACCTATGCTTATTTGTCCGTCCATCTGTCTTGCTCTAGGCTGTAATTATTGAGATATTCGGATAAACTTTGGTACACTAACGTTTTTCTGTCCGTGGGCGAATGCTATTGAAAGTCGTTCGCATCGGATCCCTTTTGGTATAGGGTATTTAATGGCGAAACGACGAATCCGTGGTTTTTTACCTGTAAGCACTACTATACAAAGTGATTTACTTTATTCATTTCATTGGGCGCAATACTTTTTAGACTTACGCGCTACTCCCCTTATAAAAATATATGCAATATAAATTCATACCTTTATCAAGCTTTGTGTTGTTAGTTCGACAAGATTAAAAGTCAGTTGAGTGAAAAGTTAAAAAAAAAAAAAAAAAAACTGGAAACAACAACAACACGAAACAATTCGTGGCGTGTTTCTCATTTCTTTTCTTTTCTTTCCTGTAGTAGAATCCAACAGCAGCAAATTTAACTGAAATTAATTGTTGTTGCTGTTGTTAGCATCAAACAGTGCGGCTTGTATGTGTTGTCGATACCATAGCACAGCTCCAGCTTCCCAACAAACCGAACCAACCAGCTAACCATCAGAGCACAATCATGTTAAATATAAAGGCAAACATTTAAAATGTCGCTTTTACAGTTTAGTCACGTTACGCATTTGTTTATTTAATTCGATTTGTAGTACGCGACACGCGATATAATACCACTTTTTCAACAACGCACATATTGTTGAACAGCAATTTGAATAGCAATCAACAATAGCAATAATAACAACTGCAAAAGTTATATTCGCTTTAAGGCGAAGCTTAGTCAGCTACCCGGCATGTGGGTATTCTAAATTTTCTTCTTGACTATGTCTTAAAATCGAACAATTCTTGTTCCCACTCTTTGCAGTAATCTTGCCATTGCTTGCGGAAAGCGAAAATTGTTCTCTTGCTTATCGAAATCTATATAGAATTCGGTTAAAGAATTTAACAAAAATGTCATCGAACTCGTACCGAACGACATGTGACATCTTTAACGATGACTTTAATTTCGAAGTAAGGACGAAGAGGATAAAGAAATTTTAGTGAAACCTTAACAGGTTTTTCTTTTTAATATTCTCAGGTTTGTTCTTTCATCCATCAACAGAAAATTTGAAACCATTTATAGATTCTTCTTCTTCTTCATATCAGTCAATCGACAACACATGATTCACTGTATTCAGCTGAGTGGCTAAGTTATCCAAAATTCCTCTAGCAAAGTTCTACATACATTATACAAGTCAGTAAAAATACCGCAATTGTTGAACCATTCTCTTCGGAACAACACCGAACAGCAACATTAACATTAGCTTAGTACACTAAACTAAGCTTTTAATCCGTATTTAAATTTTTGAATTTGTAAAACTCCTCATACCTATACATGCTTGCAAAGCCCTTCATATTATTAGCATTCAATTTGTAAGAAGCACAAAAGCCTTTGTAGCCATAGTTTTCCCTTAGTTTTTGTAGCTTATGATTTTCATTGCAATTACTAAGGTAAATATAATAAAATATTTTATTATATGTATAGTGGACTTGTATGAAATTAATTTTGAAATGATATACAAAAACTAGAAGATTTATTTCGGAAAATTCTTTTAATGAATGGCGGAATACGCAGTCGCGAGTAATATAAGTTTTCACAAGGATACGCGTGGTGAAAACTGCCGGCATTTTCTAGTTTGATCAGTTTGGATATCGGATATTATTATTTTCCCTTCTGCGTCTGTGCCGAGATATCTGATTTAACAAATTTCTTAAGAAATTTCTTCAGAGTTGCCGCAAAGCCAACTAGAGGGGAGTTACTAGACTGCGGCCAATCTACGTCTTCTTCTCACTTTCTCCACTTTTTTCTTCATCGTGTGACATCCTGTGGGCTGCCGCACAGCCAAGCGCACAATGCTCGCAAATACCAAATTGATGTTCGTGGATTCAAATCTCATCCAGGCTTAGCCATACTTGCTCGTAGTTATAGCATGTACTCAATCAATAAAGACATAATACGAATCATTTGGGCACACATCGATTAGGCTACGGCCGTTTTACTTCACTCCTCTCTTTCCTTACTGCTTTCTGATTTTCAATGGACGCTTAGAAGTAAATCTGTTGCCTAATTATTATTAAAAATTATTACAAAGTTTCTCAAGAAAAGTGAAAGGAAACAGGATGACTAAAAAACAAAAACAATTAAATTCATGCATATATAAACAGGAGAGAAAAAAAGAGAGAACAGCATATATGCATCTGGCAAAAAGGCATACGCTGGCACAGATTAACGTTGTGAATAAACCCCTAAGCCGTTGCAAATAAGAAAAAGCTTCGAAGCCCGTTAGAGGAAACAAATTCAGTAAGATTTTCCAATCATTTGAAAATAGTGAGACTCCAAGTACATTTAAACGCGCCATAGACAATTCGGGCGTATTAAAAAGAGTTGATTTGATAGAATTTCAAAAATCCGCTATTGAGATTAAAATACAAATATCGTTTAGACCTTCTTAAAGCGCTCTGAAGGAGTTTAAACATTTTTGTTTCATATTATTTGAATAGCATTTTCCTACCGATTTAGCCGAGGCATGCGTAAATATCTTAAGTTCCCTAATATGGGCAGATTCAAACACAGTCTGGTGGGTTTTTTATTAAAGAAATTGATTATCGAAATCAGTTGTAAAAAAATATTTAAGCTCACTTAGCACCTTTACAGAGCCCCGTTAATGTGCTTGTTAAATGTCTGTACGAATTAAATTCCAATTTATCTGTGCATCCTCACAAGCAAGCCTTTAAAGGCAGTCTGCCATAATAAATCGTTTTGCTAAAAACAAATACACATTGTGAGACCTTATAAGCCTGTTTCCTAGATCTTATCATAGCAATTAGAGTTACATCTTGATTGTACACTTGCTCCTTAAACATCTCTTTTCAAGTCTGGGCATCGTGAGATCACAACTAATATTTGAAACGTGCTGTACATCTACTTCGACAGATCACGTCGTCCATCTGATCAAAGGAGATGCACAAGGGATATAAGAAAGAGAGAGAGAGAGAGAGACAGAGAGAGAGAGAGAGCGACAGAGAGAGAGAGAGAGTTCTTACTCGTCGTATACTTTACTTTTACTGTGATGACGTCTGTCTGATCAAAAGGGATATACAAATGATGTAAGGGCGAAAATTATTAATCTGCGTATGTTTTATTTCTAATTTGACTGTTCGTGTCATCCATCTGATCAAAAGAGACACATAAGTGATATAAAAGAGGGAGAGAGTTACTACCCTGCGTCTGCTTTACTTCTACTTCGACAGTTCGCATTAACCACCTCATCAAAAGAGATGCGTAAGCGATATAATTGTTATAAATATATGAGACAACCAGTGGGATTTAGCTTGTCTCACGCTTCCACGTATCATTGAGAGAGTGAAAATTGGCAAGTTATCCGAAGCAAATTTGTGCAAAAGGTGATGCTTGAGAGTACCTTATAAACAAAAGTCTATGAAATTTATTTTTCCATCTTGATATTACTTCCTATGCCTGTCGCCATGCGTACCCAATCGAATGTACTTCATTCGGTTCCCAAAGTTGTAACCCCATGGCCGATGATAGATGCAAAATAAACAAAAGCCACCGCTTGTTGAGATATTTTTTCCCAAATATTTATTTACTTATATTATTTGTTTGTCTTTTTTTTTTTTTCTTATTTTCTTTTTCGTAAAAATACACGATTTAGCTTAGAAAGAAGAGGAAGCTTTTATTATTTAATGAAAAAAATTGTCCCAAATTTATATTTTCTTCTTTTGGAAATTCTTGCACGTTTTTATTTTAAAATGAAAAGTACTTTGCTAAGTCGAGTTTTCTTTCCTTCGTCTTGTCTTCTTCTTTTTTAAATCATTCAAAAACCAATAAATTTCATTTCTGGAGTTCTTGCTCTCTGCTTAATTATGCTTAAATAAATAGCAGAGAGCAAAAAAAAAAAAATATATATATATATATATATATATATGTATATACATATATGTGTGTGTACTCCCTTTAAAGTCTTTTCAAGTTAAGTTAGAAAAACAAAAGAAATTGATTTATTTTAAGTCGAGGGAAACGGATATTGAGATTTTAAGACAAAAAATCATTAAATTGAGAATTTCAAGTATAGATGAAATGTTTGGCAAACGATTTTAGCAAAGTTTCTCCAACTTTTTTGCTCTTTTTTTTTTTTTTTTTTTTTTTTTTTTTTTTTTTGATGATTTATACAATTTCTAATGCACTTTTTCACATATCTATTATAAGTAAAAACATTCGCAGTTACACGCATACGGATATTATTGCCAAAAAGAAAGAAAATACGAAAACTAACAGGAAAAGGAAGTCATTTAGACATCATTACTTACGAAATTCTTACATTTACCCACATGCATACCATGCATGCCATCTAACATAGATGCACATGTTTAAATATCAGTAATCTCTTGATATATTTACGTACAAGCGTGCGGGATAAAGGGAAAGAAACATAACATTTTCGGGTGACATTTAAACTAAACTTAATTACCCAAACTATTACTGTGGGATTATTTATTATTTTCAATGAGGTTTTGCTAAATATTTTGTTAGTTTAATAAATAAATTAGTTCGCTCGCTGTTCTCCGAGAAAGAGTGGCCGCAACTATTAGTTAAAGTTCGGCAAAAAAACTGTGACTTTTCCGTATTGTCTTCAAGCACTTTACACAGTAAAATGCGTTATGCCAGAAAGAGCCTTGCACTGCGAGGGCTGTCCCCAAAAGAATGCCCGTAACTTAATAAACACGAGAAAGCTAAATGTCTATAACGGCTCCAGTTGAGTTGACTTGATTTTGGTTTGTTCCGAACAAATGAAATCATCCCACGGATACCCAACCAACAGCAAGGGAATATGCCAAAAATCAGGATATGTTGAATTTTCAGAATGAAACAGTCCGCCCCTGTATAGCAAAACGCTCCCATGAAAGGTCAGCAGCAAGAGCCAACTTTCCCAATGCTGTCAGCAGATATTAGTCGGGAGAGTTATCGCAATCGAAATCAGTTCGTAAGATTCTTGTAACGATTGGTAACGCCCATCTTTTGAACGCAAATTAACTGGGCACATCAATCGATATTTTCGCTTTTTTGGATCGAGCAATCGAAGTGACAACATCGCTGTCACAACTCGGATCTGCTCAAATTCCTATAAGTAAGAACGTTAGGAACATAAAAAGAGCATAAGCGCAAGTAATCTCCTTTACCTATAAAGGATGCATGTTTGTACCTTCTGTGACGATAAGGAAAGGAATCCACTCTCTATTAATAAGACCGTAAGTCTACGTGGAGTCTATTATTGCATTTCACATATCTTTGGAAACTTCGGTGCAAGTACTGGCGTACACTCGAATTCTCTGATGAGAAAATTTGGATAAAAAACTCATGCCTCCAAACTATTGTAATTGCGGGCTCTATGCTCTATGGCGCAACGCCGTGACCTTTGTTTACGTCTAATTATACTTCTAGTTCCGCTTTTTATTTCGGACATTAGGGTGTTTGATCTTCTTCAATTGTCATAGATAAGTCCCCAATCCCCAGTTTCACGACGACATCAGCTACTTTGACAATTTAGAGAACGACAATAGTTCCCAGGAATTTCTTTCGTCAATAAAATGGTTTACGAAGGGAGTCCTTACATAAATAAAGAGCGACAGCGCGAGACACAGGCCAAGAAACCGAAAGAAACTAAAATATTCATACACAACATAACTACGTAGATTTAACTAAAAATTAAAAAATATATGAGAAAAAATCACACGACGTTCTTCAGCTACTCTCTGAGCCATGAGCCATGAGCCTAGAAACTACTTTTGTTATGAATTGTGGCAAAATATTTAAGACGAGTCGGGAAAAGTTTAGCACGACAAAATTTGTACTCTTCTTGCGGATCTCAATACTTCCAAGTGTCAGATGGCTGTGTTTTTTTCCTTTGGCTCGCTATTTATATTTATTTTAATTCCTTCTATCTTTTTTATTTATTTAGTCAACTTTTCCATCTTAGCAACACTTATGAGCGTTTCCTCCGACTTTTTCTACTGTCCGGGTGCGAAAATCACTACAGCCTATAGGACTATGGTTTAAAAAGAAGGACGAAATTAGTTAAAAGTTATACATGTGTTTTTCTTAGATATAATCGATTGGTTTTGCGTGGCACAAACATATTGCCCTTAATCATCTAGTCTAGTCTGATCATCTATAGAATATTATTGTATACTATGTTAATATAGTCAAAACTCCAGACAGTCGGTGTAAAGGTAGCTAGTACATGGGGAAACTTTCTTCCCGCTCAATCAAAAACCGTTAGATATTAAGCTTTGGACTATTCTGCCCTGCTTTCAGCCCATTCAGCCCGTAATTTTACGTGAGATACTCCAAAGCATCATCATACGAAAAATATTTTTCCGAAAACCCGCTTCAAAATCGTTTGCAAATCAAGCGAGAGATCAATCGACATCGTGATGTTGTGCGCTATTAATTCCTTCCTCAGGGCCAAACTGATAACAAGTAATATTCTTTGTGGGTTATAAAGCCAAGGAAGGCAATGAAACTGACTTTCAACGATAAGGAAATCATTTTGTAACCAAGCGCACCCTATTTTTCGGACATAGAATATATCACATAACAATTGAAAAGCTTTTAGCTATGAGTGCGTTCGGTATACGAGATCAGTCCCTAATTCCTCTGTGTTTAGAATGTAAAGCACACTTCGTAAGGTATTGAAGGGCATATCACTTTTTAGTTCTCTTTAGTGCTTTTCATAATTTGCTTGATTGAATCATGGAAAACGTGCTAAGTATTTAATATCTTTAATATACATCTGCTAAGGTTTCGCCTTTTTTTGTATGGCGAGCAATTCGATAAAGAATTTCTCAATTTAACTGATGTAATAATCTTATCTATAAAAATCAACTAACGATGGATCTATTAAGATCATATTTATGACTCAATAAGTTCAAGTAAATAAGGCGAAGGAAGTGAACTCACTGAGAGTTTATTCCTTGCACGAACCTTAAGTTTTATCGCTTTCCTTAATTTGCAATTGAATGATATCGATTAAGCCAAACTCTTTTTCTTATATTTAAATTTTGCAGCGTGATGTTCTAATATTGGAGCCTTCTGGTTCGGATATATTAAGCTGTGTCTCGAAAGGCAAACGTGAGGTAAATTCAAATTTTTCGCTCGACCTAAAAAAGAAATTCCCTAAAAGCATTTCATATTAAATTTAATATTAAATGGCCTGAGTAAAAAAAAAAAAAAAAAAAAAAAAAGAAAAAACGAAAAAAAAAAAAAAAATTAAGGGGGGGGGTTGTTGGTTTTTTTTTTTTTTTTTTGCCTTTTTTTCTTAAAATACCTTTTCTCCTTTTTTATTTTATTTTCTTATTTTTTGTTTGTTTTATTTTGTTGTCGTTTCTACGTTTTTTCTTTCGTGCTGCGATTACGTGATGCTGTTTACGACGTTGACTCAATTGCCTTGAAGAAGGTGGAATGCCGTAATCACATACGTGTAATACAACCCATGGACACTGGGACACGTTTATATGTTTGTGGTACAAATGCACACAATCCCAAAGATTATGTGATAAATGTAAGTATGCAGGTGTAAGTCTATGTAACATATATAAATATATACATAAATACGTATGTGCATATGTATGTGCATGAGAAATAAACTTGCTTAACTACGTACATACATCGTTCCTATAAGCTAAGTGTAACTTAAATATACGTACGCAGCTGTTTAAATGACGAATATAATATATATATATATATATATATTTATAAATCTATGAGTGGGTGTGTGTATGGCTATGTGTGTGTGTGTGTGTGTATGTGTATGTGTGTTGTGTATTAATCTAAGTTACTTACATATATACGAGCAATAAGCTTAGGGAACTAATGTCAGGTTAATACTACGGTTAAGATATAGTGTTTATTAAATTAATATTCCACAAGCGGAGCGACGTCTCCTAGAGCAAGTTTAATTTCGATAGAAAGGTCAATGTTTGAAAATTTCATAAATTTATAGAAAATTATAAATCGTAGCTGAAAGCAAAAAAAAAAAAAACAAAAAGTTCATTTATTAAAACAAATCTATGAGACTAAAGAAAAAGTTAGTAAGATAAGTAAATCTTCTATTTAAGCGTTGCGCATACGGTTCTTAAAATAAAAATTACTCTTTAATACACAATAGCTTTTTTTGTATATAGACAGCCTTTAATGTGATTATTGTTTTCTTCTTTCTATTCTTTCTCGTTTTTCTCGTTACGTTTGCTTTGCCGGTCGACTGATTGCCTGCTTGTTATACCTTAGGCAAACTTAACACATTTACCTAGATCCGAATACGTGCCTGGCATTGGTTTAGGTATTGGTAAATGCCCTTATGATCCGGCTGATAATTCGACGGCAGTTTACGTTGAAAAAGGAAATCCATTTGGTCTGCCGGCTTTGGTACGTTTTCAAATCAATTTTTTTTTCTTTTATTATTTGCTTTCTTTCTGCCTCTTTCTCTCTTTAGTAAAGAAAATTTAATTTCTTCATTTAGAGATTCATTCGGTTTATGTCTCTGGTTTACATATGAAATTAATAAAATTTACTTTCATAACTATCGCCCGGAGGTTATGTTTATACTAATTTAGTATATTCAATTTGTGTCATAGACTACGGCTAGGCATTAAATTTCATTCTCTATTTAGATTTATTTGCCATGTGTTTGTATGTTGGCGTTTGTGCGCTTCGCTCTTTGGCTTGATTCGTTTCCTTTCTCCAAATTAAGTTGAGAAAAGTTTTTCAATGCGAAACGTGAGAAAACGTGAGCTGATATTTTCCCCCTAAATAGGATCCCTAAAAAGAATTGAGCCTTTGAAAGTCAGCGCTACGAATTGAAAAACTTCTCTTATTTATAAACTTAGCGATATCGCTGATACTTTATGATATTTCTTTTTTTCGAAGATTTACTGACATTTTTTAAGCGAAGTTCTAAATCTGTTACGGCAAACTTGTGCAGTTTTAAGCTTGGACTTTATAGGTCTGTTTCTATAGCGCTCGAAATAAATTTTCAGACTTTCCCTACCTGATGAAGCTTGACATAGTATGCAGTCTGATGTAATATCGACATACAAACCTTTCTTTCATTAAGCTTTAGATGCTTTCCAGTCAAGCAATAGGTCCTAGACTATTGTCATATCTGCCGGTAGCAGTTCCTTATGCCCTATGCCCTTCTAACGCCAAAAAATTTATAGAGTAATATTCATACTCGCTGCTACAAGCTTTTCACCCTTGCGGTTTGTTTTGAGCTTGCCTTTTATAGATCATAGGTTTAGGTTTTGAAGATAGCTTTGTACTAGTGAAAGATTCTTGTAGAGAACGAACAGAATGCAACGTTCCGCTCTTTCACTATCCGACAACAATTCGAAAAAGCAGATGCTTGTGTAGAGCCTTCGAGGAAAACTGTTTGACCTGAACAAACTACATACCATTCTATATAGTTGTGTGTATAGAGCACTACTTTCAACTGTGAGCTATCAGATGGTAGGCCCTTACACTGCACTACTCCTTCATAACGAAGCCGCTCAGTACTTTTTAAGCATATGAGCGTAATGTTTGTCAACGTTGTCATGTGTTCGCCACGGGTGATAGGTACACACGGCTCGCCACGAGTTATGTGTACTTTAGTGAATCATTCCTATTTTCTTTTCTTCATATTCATAGTATTCGGGTACAAATGCTGAGTTTACAAAAGCTGATTCGGTTATATTTCGTTCGGATTTATATAACTTCACGTCCGGCCGTAAGGAGCATAATTTCAAGCGGACTGTCAAATATGACAGCAAATGGTTGGATAGTAAGTTTAAACATTTTGTAATTAAAGTCAAGTATCTAATCATATAAAGCAAATTTTCTTCTTTTTTTTTGCTCTTCTTTCAGAACCAAATTTTGTTGGTTCCTTTGATATTGGCCAGTATGTGTATTTCTTTTTTCGTGAACATGCAGTCGAGTACATTAACTGCGGTAAAGCTATCTATTCGCGTATTGCACGAGTTTGCAAAAATGATCGCGGCGGTAAATACATGACAGGCCAAAATTGGGCCACATATCTAAAGGCACGCATCAATTGCAGTATATCAAGCGAATTTCCGTTTTACTTCAATGAAATTCAATCTGTGTATAAAATGCCACATGATGATACGAAATTTTTCGCCACATTCACGACCAACACGCATGGCATAATGGGTTCAGCTGTATGCAGTTACGATATACGCGACATTAATGCCGCCTTTGAAGGTAAGTGCAGTGAGGGTGCGAAGCAATGAAGAAAAATACAGAAATAGTACAGAAATAGTGAAAGAAAAAAAAAAGCAAACAAACACTTTAGATTTAGTTTGAAGGTGTGCATGGCAAAAGTGTGCAGATATACGTTTGTGTGCTGGAGTATGTTTATATTGCTGCTTTCTTTTTTTTTTGTTAAAAGGGTATAAGAAAATTGCTAAATGCCACGTTTGTATTTGTATTAAGATTTATTGCACTCGCAATAATTCTTTCTAAAGTGAAGTTTTTATATTTTCATGGCATTCCGCGCGCGCACATGTTCCGTAAGATCAAAAAAAAAATATATGTATATATATATATGTGGCGCAAGAATTTTTTCTTGTTTTTTTTTTTTTTTTTAACACACACACAAGAGTAGATACGCTGAGGAGAAACAGAAATACTATGTTAGGAATTAAATCGCTAAAAAGAAAGACATATAAATTTTGTTTTACGATTTTTTTTTTTTTTTGTTTTTTTTGTTTATTTGTAATTTTAAAATTCGCAAGACATGCTGCACAACTACAAAATTTAGTAAACGTTAAAGTTAATTAAATAGATAAGATAAGCTCGAAGAGCTACACATGAACTTGCACATAAGGAAAAACCAGGAAAAAAAGTACACGGTCCATCATTAAGTACCCATTAAATACCCTACCCTTTATAGTTATGCATTTAACGACTTTTCAAAATAAGGTATTATGGGATAAGTGGTCGAAAATGTGGTCTAATCCCAGCCATTTTCAATGGCGTTCATTTTTGAGTCAAAATGCATCGGTTTACCGAACTTAGTCCAATTATTTTAAAAATTGCAGCCCATGAGCTGAGATCAAGAAAAGAAGACAGACGGAGGGCCGAACTGATGCAGAAAGTGATTCTGAGTAATAAAAGGTTGGTCTATTTCAAGTTCTTCTGAGTGTTGCATATATCTGTACAAACTTAATACACCATCGTACAACAAGTGGTGCGGGGTAAAAAAGGAGAAAATTGAGACCTTGAAAATTTCCATTAGGAGACAAATTGATCAGTAGTTTGCTTTCCGACCTGCAATTTTAGAACAATGGACAACTTGAGTAAGTCTAGATTGTTCTTAGGAATGCTAACACTGGCGTTAGCCAATGAAAGTCGAACCCAATTTAACTTATGCCCGAGGTTTTTAGAATGAATTGAAAGGACGCAATCTTCTTGCAATCTTTTTTAGAAGGAAGAAGAAGTTTGGAAAATAATAATAGTCGGTGATGTTGTTAAGCATGAATTTATTTAACAATTAAAATAAAAACTATTTTCGAAAACTTTCAAAAAATGGCAACGCCGCAGCCATACTCGAAAAATAAAATTGTAACCGGTGGAAACTTGAAAAAATATCTTAATGTCTTTGTGCATGGCAAAATTTCGATTTGTGCGATGAGAGAATACGCATCCAACTTTCGACCAAAGACAAGCGACAACTTTTTTAATAAATAAGATTTTAACGAATTCTTGTATACTTCTCTTGTGACAAGAATAAAATTCAATGGAGTAAGGCTGCAGTGTTAGGGCGTTCCAAAAACCATGTTTCAAGAAAAATAAATTTGAAGTTTTAAAAACTTTTACACTGACAGACAATTACGCTTAGAAAATTTTTGAACCGTTTAATATTTTGGTCCGACTAAAATTGCTTTTTTTAACAACATTGCTGATGTATATCTTTCTTTAAAACTGCTTCTTTGTAAGTTTACATGTTAATCTTAAAGGTGTAATTATTGAAATCCCACCAGGTCCGCTTAAAAGCAAAGAGAAAATAGTTTTGTATTCGATTTGTCAAAGACTAATGTCGGTATAAACCATCGGATCATTTGTATGTGTTTCATATTTTACTAATCTATTCAGTGAAGTAAACTTTCTAGTAATGAGAAAACGTTGCTAATCGTATTGGCTCGTAAGAGAATCATCTTTATTGTGGTATTGCGCGTCCTGCAATGACACATCCGCATATGAGAAACTAGGAAGATAAAATTATTCACCCAAGAATTCATTTAATAATAATAAAATTGGCAAGAGATACAAGAATTACTTCCCCGGCGGCAGAAAGCACAGCACAAACCCTTATTCTTTTATTTATCCGTTATATAACGTCGGCTCTGACCATGTCTTCTATATCCACCACCAGCTTTCTTTTAAAACGAGCGGGAAAAAAAGCATTTCGATTTTCTATAACATTAAGCCTCCGAAGCCGGTCATAAGTATTTTATCGCTTTTGAAGACATACGTCCTTGGTTTATGCTGTAGTGTAGGCATGCTGCTCGAATAAAGCGACCGATTTTCAGTCCTAATTGAGTACAAAAGGCATCATCATAAATTCTGCAGCTGGGAGTACGCTTATTACAGGTAAATGCACAGAGAAGCACACAGGCAGACAGGTGGACATGATCAGATCGACCTCAAATTACATTCACTGACCAAGAATAGTATACTTTATATAGTCTCTGAAGTTTCCTTCTGTGTGTCGCAAAAGTTTTGAGCAATTGAAAAACAAAAACCAGAAAGAATTAAAAACTATACATCTCCTTACTAGTCATTCTATGAAATATGTCTGTCCATCACGTAGTACGCACTTCAGTCCGTTAAGTAGACAGTTCGTCTTGCCTATCCTACGTATCCTTTCCTATCTCAGCGCAACTATTGCAATGATATCTTATTGAGAGTAAATCACGTCTGCCATATAATAGAAATCGGTTTTTGCTTTTTAAACGAAAAGAAAAATATTAACCAATACATGTAGTGTAGCGAAAAGAACAACAAAGTATGTCTCTGTTCAAATGAACGCTTACAGTGTTTAATGCTACCATCGGGTATCAATAATGAATGAATGCTGCTATCAAGCCCAAAATGTGCGGCATCAAAAACAGGATTTCACCGTATTCCTCACATTGACACTATCATTATATAGATCGTGGCTCTACATACAAACAGCAATCGCTGATGTCCCCGGGCAATCTGTGTAATTAACGCTGCATGCATTTGTACATTTGCAAGGTAAGCTGCAGCAGATTGATTATCGGCATATTGTTCCAGTCGTTGCCAAAGCTGTTGCATATCATATTAAACGTTTCAAACTGCCGTTATATCACAAACAGGCTTTATAGATAGGTGTGCTATTACAATGTCTTAGTTCTCCCTGGAAGGCTAAACGCAAATGAATGTCTTTCACCGTCATCATCATTTCTCTTTTTTAATTTGCATCACTCTTAACGGTCGAACTGTTTGTACTCTCCCTTACGCTATCCTATTTAGCACTTTTATTATTAAGTATTGAGGCAGAATTTTTCTTTATATTTTCTTTTGTTTATAGGATAATTAGTATGAAACCTTCGCTTTCGTGTAAACAGATGCTTTTTATTTGCAGTACGCAGATGTTCTTTATTCCTTATATTGACTTATGACGCCATTTGCAGGGGGCAGGAGGAAGCCCTATGAATCATTCAAAATATATAGATGGGATCCCTCCACAGCAAGTGTTTTTATGAAACAAATTTCTATAACACGGCGAAAAAACTTGTGCCCATGTTCGTATAACACGCTAGAAGTGTGTTGTATAACACTATAAAGGAATGGGACAGAAAATACATTCCTCTCTCTCTTTCTCTCTCGCGCCTGTGAGAGAAAACATTTATTATTCTACGGCCTTAAGAGTTGCTGTCATGTAGTGCCTTAAGCCGGATTAGAGTTCTTTGAAATATGACCACAAAGTTAATAGCTTGCCCTGTGGACGGCTCAAGTGATCTTAGTGAGTCATAAAACACTCGTTTATACAACGCGGGAAAAGTCTGCCATATTATAGGACGGTCTACTGTGGATTATTTATCAGCGTTAAAATTCGAATAAATGTAAGCTTATCCCTATGCCCGTGACCCTGTGACATATTTCGGTGGAAAGAGTGAACCTTTAGAGGAAACTTAAGTGGAAATTGCTTCGGGTAAACTCACATGTGACTCTCGCTTTGCCCCGAGGGGAAGGTATGGACCATTCCTAAACTTACATATTTGGTACTCCAGTCTTGGTATAGGCTCTCTCACTTGCAGGATTGTCTTGTAGACTGGGAAATGACGGAAATCGCGTGTGAATTATCCTTTTCTGTTTAAGCCATCAGGGTAGGTGCAGGCGTTAAACAGAGAGACTCTCACCGTCCGTTTGTCGATTTTTGTAAACTCGCAGGTCGCGTCGGAGAGTAGGGGATAAAGTATATGAGTATAAAAGGTCCGCGTCCAGCCAAATGCAATTTGCTCCCTGGTACTATCTGTTCTTCTTTTTCTTAGATTCTTAGCTTCATTGCTTACCTTTGATTGTAAAGTAACATAATTTTGTTGTCCTTAAATTTCAGTTCAAGATTTTTTATGAGATAAATAAAAGAAAACACAACAATAACATTTCACGTACGATTTAAGCAGACGCACACAAACATACTGGATACCTCTGCCCTTTGACCATGACTGGCTTAAACTGACCGTATCCTTCAGACTACATTCCCCTTACTCTTGATCTTAAACGATTGTCTCCTTTTCTTTTGCGTTGTTTCACTTTTACCCCTTTTTTTTTGCATAAGAATGCAAGGAATGCTATAAACAGCAGTTGTCCGCTATGCAACGTAAATATCAAGGTCACTTGTTTACATATTCGGCTCTATCGGTCATTAGACTTTAAATGTAGTGGAACGGCAACAACAGAAAGCAAAGCACGACGTGCACGCTATAAAATGCGAAGACAATATCCATCCAAATCCTACGAAATACTCAGAATTTTGTCTGCTACGTTCTTGGAATCATTTCACATGTATCGGTCTTTTTTGATCAACTTCACTTGCTTCAGTTGTCAAGTCAAGGAGAACAACTGATGCAAGTCACTTATTGGAAACACGTCACGCAGGTCTTCTTCGGTCAATGTCACTTTCCAAAATGACGCTACGCCCATGTATACCTTTAAATGTTGATGTTGCCGAAGAGTACCCTTTATCAACACGATCAAAAGCAATCAATCAAGTTTTTATTGACAAACGTTTTATTAATTTAAAAAAAATTTTTGTAAATTTTACTTTATGGATTACGGTTAACGGATTAGAAGGATTACATGATGACCGCAAAGCTTTAAAATTGTTCCACACGACGCAACACGACTGCATTTTGTTTATATTTATAACTAAGTATAATAGCCAAGTGGTAGACTACATACTCAACTACGTAGTAAATCGCAGTACATGTATGTAATCAGCTGTTAGTAAAACAATGTAGTAAACGTTGTTTGGATGCTTACATAATATAACATAACATAAGATAAACATATAAACATACTTGATTTTATGCAGTGTCTAAAACATTTTATATCTTTTCCTAAATATATATAAATATGTATACGGATAGTTGATGTCTTTCTCGAGAACGCTGTATGTGAGAGGAAGATGAAAAATCAAAAGTAAAAACAAAAAGGAAAAAAGAAAAAAGAAAGATACACCAAAACGAAATATATTTGATGTGTAGTACACGTGTGACACTTACACGTGTTTAAATTTATACAAACGCATACATAAACATCGTTCAAGCATACGTATATATCTACTTACATTCGGATATGTGCACATGAATATATTATTATTTTTTACACTCCATGCATCATGTTTTAAATTTGCATGCAAGCATGCAAGTAAACAAACATAAAAACTTGGGGTAATGCATGCACAGTCAGTCACATTACAAGGCATGCATATAAACACCAAAAGACGACGAAGCCAAGTATACATATATATATATATATATACGCATACTTTCCTTTCCGCAAGCTTTATGCACGCGCGTGTGTGTGTGTGTTTAAAATACAAAAAAAAAAAAAAAAAAAAAAAGAGTGAAAGAGAAAAAAAAAAGAAAAAAAAAAAAACAAAAAATAAAAAAATAAATGAATAAAATATAAAAAAAAATGAAATTTTTCTTTTGAATAGAATATATTTACGGGTAAAAGAAAACGGAAACGGAAATCATATATGCCAGGAATGGAAGCTTAAAATGTTATTCATACCTACGCACGCATAAAAGTATATTTTATTAAATACAAAACTGCATATACGTATGCATACGCCTTTAAGCATTGCATGATGCATACTTTATACACCTACATGTACATGTACATGGAAGTTGTCGTGAACTTTGTCGTAAAACACAAAAAGTGTACGCGATCCATGTGTTTAAACAACTTAATGATGATGTTGAAGCAATGAAAAAAAAAAGAAAGAAAGCAAAAAGTGTCAATCCGTACGTACGTCGCACAATATATAAAAATTGTTTGCAAATAATATTGACCTCAATATGTTAAGCTTTTATTGTTCTCGCAAGTAACTTTAACAGCAAAATAAGACGGATAAATTATATAAGCAAATTATTGTACTTATATTCTATAAAGGGGGCTAAAAAAAGTTTGACAATATAACCCAAATAAAAACCGCGAAAAGACTGCGTCACTTATATAACATATTATATATTAACAAAAGAAAATGAGCAAAGGAGAAACACATATAACGGAATGGAGCAACAGTCCCGCCTGCTTTCAATCCTCCCACCTGTGGTTACCAAATGATTTTGTAAGATGCTGAATTTACCCGCTTTAGCCAGAAAAAGTTACGCACACAGTGTTAATCTTTACTTAGGATCCGTGCTTTCTTATTGCTAATTATGATAGGATAAGTCTAAGTTCTCATAAGATGCATACAAGCACGAGATCGTATTCCCTTTGTACTCAATTGCTAATGGTTTCTGTCACGTCTGCACATTTGAATTAATGGTTCAGATTCTCATGAGTACGCGTGAGTAGTCGAGCGGGTAAGCATCTCGATTACCTGGTCAGCGTATTGTGTACTTTCGTTCGACCGTAGCTATAACGAGTGCCCAATCAGGCCCAGTAAAGGCATAGCAGTTACCGATTAGTTACACGCCTACTAATCTACCGTCAGGCACCTTCGTATATCTTTCTCTTCAATTACCTCTTTCGAATCGTCACTGCGCAACACGTAAACGGGACATCCCTTGAGTGAATGGTCAATTGGAAAAATATCTATATATATAGCGGACAATTTTGTTTAAAAAAAAAACAAAGAAGATATTCTTGGAAACATGTCTTTCTATGTTTGCATTAATAGAATCCACACAAATTTGAGTTCAGCTATTATACATAACTAAATGGTGATGGTCACAAAGGCAAAATTGTTCATTGCTCCAAGTTTCATTGATAATTGCGGTGGTTCACATTCGCCGAATGCTTCGAAAATATGTGTATCAATAAATTGTCTGTATTTGTTGATCATATGTGAATTGCTTGTCACAAAGTTCAATAGGTGAAATATTCACTATCACAAACTTCCTGTTTTCGAGGATAAATACTCATTGATACATTTGCGCATATCTACGCTGGTCTTTAAACGTGACTGCATCGAAAATAGGTGAGGCGTAGATAGGAGGATTTGGTAATGATAGTAATAGAAGAGCACGTTGCGGTAGTTGTACGCACGTTAATGGTCCAACCATGCGGAGTTAGCAGCTTATTACATCACTCAATAAGTTCCTAGGATGCGTGCTACTAAAATTCTTAAAGTAATGATCGGGATGTTACGAAATTTCGACACATTCAATATTTAGTGCGTAGTATTATTTAAAAATCGTATGGATTCGTCAATAGCGGAGGCGTCTTTATGTCATCCTACGAGTTTATTGAGTGTTCTTTTATCAATATTTTGCAAAACGAAAGGAGTGTTTACGTACTTTTCGCAATTTTAACTAGAGACTCATTTATTTTGCATCACTTCATTCAAATGCCTTTGCCTTAAAGGAATTTTTGTTACTTTGCCCTTCGCGACTAACTTCCGTTTTCGAAGCTCTTACAATTTGTAAGATTTTGTCTCTCTTTTCTTTTTTTTTTTTTTTCTTCATTCATTAAATACTGGACGTCATTTAGGAATTATTCATACAACAACTTAGCACAATAAGATGTTAGAGGGAAAGTGGACGAAATAGCGGTTAAATGCGAACTATTTGCAATAGTGTTTGTCCTTGGACCAAAATAGGCCAATGCGCCAAGTTTTGTTAAAATATACCAAAAACTGGGGCCTGTGGGCTGCACAAAAGAATTTAAAACGGACAGACAAGTCAAATCTCTTCCTAAATAAAAAGAAGGTTTACGTGTGAAATTGATTTCTTTTCCGATTTATTATATTACAATATGCTTGATTGGCGAACGATGACAGAATGTGTACGCATTTTGACAACTCGAACGATTACCTACGACTAGAAGCCTGCATACGTAAATAACTTAGAAAGAAACAACTGTAACTAACTGCTTCTTCTAATCTTCTGCGAATCAGTACCAAATGATTCACTGCGTTGAATGAAAAAGGTTCATCACGAACACGAAGCTCTTTGCCTTGAACCTTAAAAAGATATCAGTGCGTCTGAGCGGCTTACTAATGGTTCGCATGGGTAAATTTGTCGCGATCACTTGCAATTCAACTCATATCTTAACAATAGATTCTTGGTTTTCTCTAATTGATCTTTGAACTTTTCTTATTCATTGACAGGTAAATTTAAAGAACAAGCGACTTCAAATTCCGCTTGGCTACCGGTATTAAATTCGAAGGTGCCCGAACCCAGACCGGGCACATGTGTTAACGACACCTCCGGTCTACCCGATTCTGTATTGAATTTCATACGCAAGCATCCTTTAATGGACAAAGCAATAGATCACGAGTTCGGCAATCCGGTGTTTTACAAACGTGATATAATTCTAACGAAACTAGTGGTGGACAAGTAAGTACAACGAGCAAAAACACTAAAAATAAAAAAATTAATCCTAATCCGCGCACGTATCCTTAGAACGAATCCTAAGGCGAAACGAATTAGGGTTAAAGTATAAAAATTAAAAAATTTAAAGAATAAAAAACTATTGTGTATTGAAAACATTTAATTCAAAGTTTGAAAATATTATTTAAATATTAAAATAAAGCTTGAACCTAAATAAACATATGCACAGATTTTGTGTTGATTTTTTCTAAAAACTGCAACACAAAATATAGGGGAAACAGGTTTTAACTCTCAGGACGAACTTTAGATACTCATCGCATAAGAACGCTTCGCCGTTTACAACTAAAATGCTATTTTATCGTCTGATAGGACTGTGTTCTCGTTTGTCCCTTCCAAATTTGGTCCAAAGCCGTTGATTATTCGAAGAAAAAAAAAAAAGAAATCGAAAATTTTTTTCATTATTTCCCTTAAACGGCGACGGGATGTACAAATGGTGTAATGAAATCGATTTGACATTTTGCGCTGATCAAGAAAATAAACCTTCACTTTACTTAGGTCTGTGTGTTACAAGCTGGATGAGAAACTTAACGCTCTATCCATTCTAGGGTAAAGTGTATAAAAAATTTTGAAACTATGTCGGAAATGTTTTTTTTCCCATTTTTTCTTCTTTAGTTAAATGCTCTTAAATATTGTTTCGTGTATTCAGAGTTGTTTTGCATTTACTATATACAACCATCAAAGCATCCTGCCAGAAAACAGGCATGCACACACACACACACAAGCACCACGGGCTGAGCAACCAAGACCACAACCTTCGTCTATTCATATGAAAAAAACAAATAGAAAAAAAAAAAAAAAAGAAAACCTAAAATAGTATACGAACGTAAGAATAATAACAATAACAATAGACCCTCTAGATACTTAAGCCACGATGGTGTGTATAGTATACAAGTTATTCTTCTAAAGTATCTCAAGCATTTAGAGAAAATATTGCAAAAACTTTTATAAATAGTTTTTGTTTTCTTTCCCGTATTAGGTGTAGAACATAAAACTTTCAGCTTTCGCTATAAGCTGCAACAATGTAACAATACAGAGAATACCAAAAAAACAAAAAAATACAAGTAAAAGGGATCTCCTCTTAGGCTATTCGAAGAGCAATGGTTCGATTTTCAGTCAACTTAAATACGCAAATATCTTATCTGCAAGCATGTTTTCGTCATTAGCTTAAATGTAAGCTAAGCTTCACTTACCGAAATTTATATGACAACAGCATTCTGATAATATTCAAAGATTACAAGCAGTTCACCAGAACTTCAGTAGAAAACAACGACAGATAAACGAAGGCCCACAAATAGATATTGAACAAAACTTGAAATTTATTAAATCAGCGAACGATTCGATCTAAGCGTATCCAAGTATTTGTGGAGATCGTGTAGACAAACGAATAGAGCTAGAATTTTCACAAGTTGGCACATGTACCCTTCAAGTTATTCAACAGATCAAAGAAGAAAACCTCTATTGTGAAACCAAGGCTAAGTTTTTATAAATTTTAATTATGTACTATCTAGGATACAAAAAATGGTAGCATCTGAGTAAACAGGCCTACTAGCCAAGCTGGTATTCTCGGGCTTAAATCGCACCGCCCTAGCCCTAGTTTGGTCGTAGCTATGTTACCAGATTCTAAAACTATAGGTATAGCGCGGATGTAGCCGGTGTAACGACTATGTCTGGAAAGCCTCATTATGTGCCTGAGTATTGAACTACGGACTGTATTATTTTTAAGACCGCAGTCAAGTGCCACCTGAAAAGGATTGGAGATTGTGGAGACGGATGCATGTGCCATTACTGAGCTAGCTAGATCGAAAGATATGGGTGAGGGTTTTAAATTGTTATCCCACGCACACTCCGCAGGCGATTACAACCAAAAGAAATACCACCCTTATACGGATCTGCCTACATACTGAACGGTCAGATCATAAGCCCTGGGCCATTCTGTACCTACGGTCTCCTTCGGCCCATCGTTTGCAATGACAACCGCCGACCGCCGGAGAATCATGTCCATGTTCGCAGATTTAAATCCCAGTGCAGTAGAGTTTACATTGATCCTAGCTATGTTCTAAAACTATACGTATAAGGCGAACGCTTAGCTGATAGAAAAGTATTGGCACTTCCTAATCGGTGTTCCTTGGCTTAGAGAGAACTTGGGGAGAGAGAGCTGTAGTAAACGCGCTGAGCTATTAAATGCATAACACCCATCCGTTGCCCGCACACACTCTCTAGACTGTAGTCACTTCCCATCTTTTTTTTTGTACCCACGTCTTTCTAACTGTTACTTTGTTACACATCCCCTAAGCGATTGGTGATATTTAAAAAAAAAAAAAATGTTATAAGTACTCTAGAATATGTGGGATATATGATCTTGCATAAAAGAATAATTTTTCTCAAGACGTAAATTTTGAAGACTTCTCAGCCGTGACTTCTCTCCTGGGAATCTCGCGTGATTATTGCACTTTCTGCGATCGAAGATCTACCGTTCGGAGAGAGATGCCAGTCGGTTAACCGTAGTTAGCTCGCCATAGCATACGATTTGAAATTTATCTTAAACGAAAACTCTATCAGTTTTAGAGACTTTCCTTACTTGGCAAGTCCATTTTTGTTTTTTCACGATTGATATCCGAAATTCCTGTTAGGTTCTTTTAGATGTTACAGCTATCAGTTACTTCAATACGACGATTATCGCTACTTTAACCTCTGTATTATTCTGTAGATCACACTTTAGACATTGTTTCAAGGAAGCGTATAAGCGTCCAGGTGACATCTGTTCACGTCGACTGCTTCAATAACTTTTGTCTAACACTTATTGTGGCCGACCTTCTCAGATCTCAGCCGAAAAACTACTGATTCCTCCGACATTGCCATTGTGTTGTTAGGTCTTATGATGTAGGATCACTGAACTTATAGCTTAACACCACACTTGAGCAATCGAGACACGAAGTCCCTATGCCGGACCAATCTGAGTCTTAACAACATTTGCATCTTTATTCAATAAATACACCTAAGCTAAGTCCGCCTGTTTGTTCTTAAAAAATCTGCGGGAAATATCGTTAAGTGAACGTTTTGAGCAGAATCGACAAAAGCTTTGCTTCAAGCAACTAAGAAACTTTTGATAAAGCAAAGCGATTCTTAATGACCAACTGATTGATATCAAGAATTATGAGTCAACATTACGCAGATTCAATCTGTATTCTTGTCCTGATGTAGAAGTGTTTATGATAGTCGCCCAGAAACTGCGTTAGCGTTCCCTGACTTGATTTTATTTATTTCTCTATCATTTTTTTTTTTTTTTCTTTTTTTTTATAAATTTATTTCCCTTATTTCATTTTCTCTTTGTTATATAGGATACGCATTGATAAATTGAATCAGGAATATTTGGTATATTTCATTGGCACCTCCACCGGCAATATATATAAAATTGTTCAATTTATACGGTACGGAAGACGACATTCCAATTTGTTGGATATTCTGGAAGTGGCATACAATGAACCCATACAGGAGATGGGTATAAGTCAGAAAACCGGTTCACTTTATTTGGCTACTGATCATGTAGTAAAACAAATTGACTTGGCCATGTGCACCAGACGTTATGATTCGTGCATACGCTGTGTGGCAGATCCGTATTGTGGCTGGGATAAGGAGGCGGGCGTTTGTAAATTATATCAACTGGGCTTACTGCAGGTGAGTATCCATGCATGTGTGTGCGTCTGTTTTGCATACGCCAGCATAACATTCGCATAAATAACAAAGCAAAACATTTTTCTTTTAGTAACATTTGACACTTTATAAACGTGAAACGGAGTGTATTTATATATGCAAATTTTATGTATATATGTGTGTATGAGTATATCTTTTCCTCATATACTTATATATATATATATATATATATATTTATAATCTTGTTTATGCTTTCTTACCCAACATGCATATCGAAGTTGTCAAGTGTAATAAATGTTTTTTTACTCATTGTTTCTCTTTATTGTTTGCTCTTCTCTTCCTTTCCTTTTTTTCTCAATTATTTTTTAGGACGTTGCCAACGAAACATCTGGTATATGCGATACAAGTGTGTTAAAGAAACGTATAACAGCTTCATATGGCCAAACGTTGCATTTGTCATGTTTCGTAAAGGTGCCGCAAGTTTTAAGGCAAAAAATTGTCAGATGGTATCATCATTCAACGGAGAAGGGACGGTAGGTTAATGGAAAGATATTTATTATTATTATTATTTTTTTTATTTTTTTTTAAATTGAAAAGAATAAAACACGCTAAATAAACAACTCAAGCGATATTTACTATTAGTGAGATCTCATAACGATTTCTCAGCATGTTTCTGAAGAATGACTTCTAATAATTTGACTGTGAAGAGAGCATAATCGCTTTAAAACTTGCACTGCATTGTCTACCATCTAATAATTTATTACCTAACTGGAGGCTGAGACTTCACTGATTTTGTTAATTTTTTATTCTAACTCATAACGCATATATAATATTGCCGAGTGACCGAACGCCTTTGGTGTTCTTTAAATTAAAAATTGAAATGCAAAGATTGTTCCAGAGTAAATACGAATCGAAACAAGGAATTTTTTTTTTTTTTTTTTTTTTTGCAAATCTCAGTTACTTCAGCAAAACTCATTTTTCATACCCTGCATCACGTGTTATATACAAAGCTATATTGAGTTTGTGCCGATATATGCAATGCCCAGAAGCACTTAAGATGCTCCCTTTTTATTATACCGAACGTTTTAAGTCCGTCCGTCCATCGGTCTGTCTTGTTTTTTGCTTTTTCAGTTTGATGAAATTTCGTAAAGTGACATGTATTAGCTCAAGCTAGTACTCTACCACTTTTCCGAGCACTTCACATATAACACCTTGTCGCTATACGAACCACTGTATTAAGCGAGTTGGTGTAGGATATTTAATGATGGGCCATTACCCGCTATACTTTTTTTACTTCTTGTCTTTATAACAGTCTACGTGCGATTGTCCACAAACGTTCTCACAAAAAGGAAATGGACGGAGTGTTGTGGATCGGCCGTTCTGGGGAATGTCGATTCGGATGATTTCCTTATTAGTACAACGTACTTTTCCGCAAAGATAAAAGCAGCGTGGCATTAACTCGGACAGATAAAACGACTGATTCATAATTAAAAGATTTTTAATAAAAACAAATTCCATCTCAAGTATCTTGCAAGTAATGTTTACTTACGAAGAAAGCATTAGCAGATTTTTCCACGGCTTCAACGCTTTAAAGTTATTTGACCTTTGATTCTACATCTATTAATATGAGAGAAAAATTTGTCTGCACGAAAGCTTTGGGGGAGTTTACGTTTTCTAAAAATTTCGATTATCCGTTGTTTAGATTACCATTCACATTTTGAGGGCTACCCTTAAGGGCCATGTTTAGATCGGCTTAGAATTTAAAACGCAACGGTTAACAATGTATTTACTTCGTAGGTTCTCTAAAGTTTCCTTCATGGTTTCATAAAGGTTTCGACGAACTGAATATACCGTCTTTTGGCAAGTTAAATATGACGCAAGAAAGAATTGGAAAACATACATTACTCCAATGTTCCTGGAGCATACGTCTATTACGTACATAGCGTCCAGTAATTGATCGCCAGTTATAATATGTCCATCCACTCACGCAAACAGACGTACGGACGGATGGGCTAGGTGGATTTAGAATTTCACGCTGATCAATTACGTGCAAAGTCTCTGAAGCTTCCTTTAAGTTGTTGCAAACTCAATAACTCAATAACTCAAGTCATATAAAGTTAAACTTTTTATCTAAGTTGTTCTCTTGAGATCGAAGAACTTTAGGAGTTCATGACATTCGCGCTTGGCGGGCAAACAGTTAAAAAGCGCAGCTTTCGAGTCTCGACATACGAGCGTATCATTCTCAGGGCCACAGTTTACTTATGTTTAACAGATGACACAGCACAGTGAGTGCCCAGTCGAAAAGAGTTTAATATTTATCAGCCTGTCTGATTATGACCGCTCACAATCCGTCTCCAGTTCCTTCTAACAATTAACTTATAGAAGACATTCCCTGAAGAAGCAAAAGAAAAAAAAGAAATGTCGAAAGTGGTAAAGCTTAAGAGTCTTACGGCATGCAATAGAAAGTAATTTGATTCCCTTAACTGTGAGCATTTATTCATTATTTTAGAGATAGTAAATAAAATTATGATATTTACGCGAGCTATCATAAATGCGTCACTAAATTTCAATTGCAAGTAAGTCGAAGCCAAAAAGTTTAAGAAACTTGTTGTAGACAGTACTCAGAAATTGAAAAAGAAAATTTTCCATTACTTTTTCATTTAAAGTGTGAAGAGTGTTTGCTTGTAGAATCTTTTTAGGTAAACATCTTTTAAAAATAATGATTTGTCATAATCGTATCATTTATCGATACAGTGAAAGTGTATTCAGTAGGAAAATATTCCCAAATTTTCATTTTATACTTTTAATGCGAAATAACGTCCTGGTGAAATCAGTGGCAAGGAAACAATTGTGAAAGATTTTAACTAAACATCATTATCAAAAAATGTTATCTTTTTCTAAATGTCTATGAATGTAGCCGAGGGTGTAGGATAGGCAAGCAAGATGCGGCACTTTGCTATAATAAAGTATTTATTTTTAAAAGGAAATAAAATAACAGAAGCAAGATTTTAAGTATTCTTCGTAGCAAAGAAAATGTAACACAATCTGGCATAAATGGAAAATTATTGCACAAGGGTATATTGAGTATATGTGGATGTGTGCAAGGCGCAGAACGACTGGAAATAGATTCGCTTTTTATTATACAGAAACATTTTCTGAATCGATGTAAGCTTGTCTGTCCATCTGTCCACTTTGTTCTTTGTGTTCAACTCATATTTCGCAATTTTTGAGACATTTTAATGGAATTCGGTACACCGATACGTTATAAACGGTCTTAGAAATGCTTGGTATCAGACGCATTTTTTAACCGCTTTCCATGTTATACCTTATTTTGAAAAGCCGTTATATAAATAATTATATCAATGATTGCACAACACCCAGAAGGACTTAAGAGAGACATGTGTTCTGTTACACCGATTGATTCAGGAAGTAGGTCTGTCCGCCTGTCCCTCCTGTGTTCTTGTGCTTAACCTACAGAGCACACTTTTCGAGCTATTTGAATAGAATCTGGTACACCGAACGAAAACCGTAATTGAAAATGGTTCCGATGGGATCGCTCTTCCGACCACTACCAATATAACGCTTTGCTTGGAAAAGTCTTTATATGAGTTACTGCGGCAAGCGAAATGATGTAGTGTTTTTAATAATGGTCTGCCTTCCACTACAGTGTTTTCACTTGTTTTTCTCTTTTTAATATCTTCATATTCCATCGCTAAGGACTAGAGCCCTTATCATCTGCAGACTTTAATTTGCTGGCTACGCATTCAGATTTAAAATTTAGTTATTTAAATTAATTTCCCTTTTGTAATATCTTTCCACCGTTTGCCTACTAACCGGCATTGCTTCTCTTTTTTTTCTTCTCGCTTTTGTAAGGTATTCAGGTGAAAGAAATGCAAGCATTTGCTATGATACCGCAGCCATTTTAAAACGGTTTTTTGAAAAAAAATCTTATCATTTTTTTTTTTTTTTGCTCTTTCTTTTATAACACAAACCCACGCAGATGATATGTTTTTTAAGACAATAAAATTTGTTCTTATGGAAGGGAGAAAAAAAGCTTTCGAAATATTACTTCAGCTGTACCGTACCATTTAACAGAAAACGGCATGAGGAGAAGACCTTAACTCTCCACCAAAATAATAAGTTATTAGTCATAAACTAAACAGAACCCCACAAAAAAAAAAAGTAATATCATGCTTCTGGATTTTCACAAAAAGCATTTTTTTTTTGTTATTAAAAAAAGCAAAAAAAAAAAGAAGAGAAGAGAAGTTAAATTCATACATACGCGCAGAGATACATACCAATATTGAGATACTTTTTATGTGCTACTGTCTTCTTCTAAATCCTTGGAGACAACAGCTGTTACATAAGACATAAATTCACAGCTCTACGGTAACGGAATGGTTTAGTTTGCTTTCTTTTAAATATGAAAGCAACACAAATTCTAATGAATGTTAGAATTCTACTCAAATGCTTTACCTTTTTTTCCTTTCTTCCATCTCCCTGCTCTCCTATCACCAATTTCTCAAAAAAAAAAAAAAACAAAAAAAAGGAAAAGGAAAATTGGAAGAAGCATTAAATATAATAAAATTTCAGAAAGATAATCCAATAAGTTTATTGAACAGAATAGAAAATACTTTGGAGTAAAAAAGTTTGCAAAACTTTTTGAGTCGCATGTTGACTCGCATTAAAGCGATAAATTGACACATTAAAATGTGTTATTGACTGCTTCTCCGGTTGAAAAGTCAATGGCTGGGGAAAAAGATTTCCCATTTTGCTTTTCACACTTGCCAAGTTTCATTTCCTTTTGTACTTTATTTGTTTTCTCTGCTCGCGAGCACTTGCTTCTCTTGATGCTAGTACATATATTTCTAATATATGTCAGTGGCATCTTGCGTGCAAGTGCGGTGAAGAGCAACCTGAACTGATGCGAATTCCAAGAGGAGCAAAAAAAAAAAAAAAAAAAAAACGAAAAAATTAATAAAATAAAGCTATGGCTTTTTCACGCTTCTGGTTATTGCAAAAGCTTGCGAACAGTTTCCATCCCTTGGAGAAATTTGATAACTCAAAATAATTAACTTTTAAAAGCTTTCGAAATGATGATTAAGATCATAAGTGCAAGAGAGAAGCAAGAGATGCAACCTGATTCTTCAAAAATGCAAAATTCGCAGATTTTATTAAACTTCAAATTTCTCGGTTCAAAATTTTATCGTTTATCGTAAATAAAAATAGAAGTCTCAGAAAAAGACCAGACCTGTTGACTTTCCGCCAAACTAGAAAAGAATCCAAGGACTGACTAGTAGGTCATGGCTCGCCATTAAATACCCCACACCTTTATGCATATAACGGCTTGTTAAAATGAGGTGTTGCATGGGATGGGGTCAATAGAATGCTCTTATCCGGTCTATTCTTATCTGGTCTATTCGAAATACAACATTTTGCGGAAATAGCTCTAATAGCAACCATAGCGAACAGTCGGTTGAAGTCAACAGCACACAACACAAACTGACGGAGACACTCACTTTCTCAATGCATCGGTACACTAGAAGGTAGGGGTAGCTCAAGTCACACAAGTGGCGTGAGGCGTAAAAATTGACTCTCTAAGCAGTCAAATCGATTTTGCTAATACGTCGACTATGGGTTAGAAAATCTCCGACGGAATTGTTTTCTAAATCTACTAAAATTTCTTTGATGATTAAAGTAGGAAATCTTTTATTATCTCAAATCCATTGCCCGCTGCGATGACCTTCATAGAAGGCAAAATCCGAGCATGGTCATCTAATAAGAAAAACGAGAAAAAATAGACATTTAGTGTAGGATGAGTACTTTGTTGTTGGTAAAAACAGGGAAATTGGAGCAAGTCTTAGAAGTATTTTTGAATTCTCAACAAAACTCATTGATAGCCTTTGAAAATTAGTTCACCTAATCAATACTAGAGATTGTAATAGATGAACTATACAAACACACACACACACACACGCATACAATACAAATTTTCGCAAAATGAATTTTCTTCAAAACAAAATCACTGCATGCACCCCAAACAATATATACGTGCGGTTATAACTGCAAGCATTTTCATCACACACACAAATATAAAGTAATATGTATTTAAAAAGACTTAAGTCAAATGAAATTTTTTGAAAGAAACATTTGATTTACATAACTATTGAATTTTGTGTACAATGTTGAAAAGGCAGATGAGAAGAAACTATATAAGCATTTTTTATTGCGCCGGTATATCGACTGACCCGCTTCTTAGAGCCATTGGAACTAAACCCAAGAGGATTGCGTAAGCTATTAAACTAGTGCCTTCGCCTGTGCTAGTTAGCAAATTGTCCATTAGTATGGCGCCGTATTTAGCAGTAAATGCGGCTAATGCCATCAAACCGTATACAGAAATGTTTTCGTTGGCAGCCAAAAACAACAACGAGATAATGTTACCCAAAATTGTGAGATCCTTTAAAGTCTGTGTAGCAATTTCATCGCCTTCTTCGTTTGGTGCCACTTTCGTTATCACATCAAAAGCTAAAGGAACTATAAACAGACCATGGCCCAAAGCCAAGGGGCTACTTTGTTCCGATTTCAAATATAGCTCTATATTTATCAGGGGTACTGTCATTATTTCCAAACAACTGCACGTTAAACGCTTAATACGCTTAGTGAAATTTTTTTTGCTCACTAAACTCTTCACAAGACCGGCGAGAGCATGACAGAAACCGACAGTGCAAGCGGTATAGGCGTAAGGACGTTCGATTGGTGAAACCGAAACCATGGCATAGCCGGTAGTCCCCAATAGTATGCCACTGAAAACAGCATCCACCATTTTATAAACGCCCAAGTGCCTCGATAGGTAAGGGTAAGAAAAAAAAAAATCAAAAGTTAATTTTTGTAAATTTTACAAAATCGGTTTATTTGATTGAATTTCTACAACTAATAGGAAAAGTCAAATAATCAAACTATTTGATTATCGAATTTTTCTTTCTGAAATGATTATAAAAACGTACATAAAACGAACATAAACATGAACGAAGTTATCAATGGGTTTGGCCCAAAATTTCTAATACCTACACAATTAGCTTCGACTTGCCCATGTATGCTAAGCATGTATCAATTTTTGTGGATCATTGTATGGTATCGTATACATCTAAGAAGATGGATGGACTGAAGGGTGTATTTAAATTAATTCAGTTCCTTCAAAGAAAAGCTAAGCTTATGCATTCTGTCATTTTTCAAGCCTATTTTCGTATAGGCGATACAAACATTTGAAGAAACTTATACTGCGTGCATCCATATATGTGTACACTACTCGGAGAGTAGGACTATTGGTAATAGTAACAGTAATAATGAGAACCGTAGTAGTAACTATAGTAATGGTATTAACAATTACAACAGTAATAGTAGGGGTGGGAACAGTAGCAGTAGTAGCAGTAATGTTAGAAAAAGAACTGTAGCAGCAGTAACTGAAGGGGCTGCAGCAGCAGTGAAAGTAATAGTATTGGTAGCACTGGTATCCGCAACGTCAACTAGAATGATAGTAGTAGTGGCAGCATTGATAAGAGCAGAACTTGAATCTGCAGAAACGTAAACAGCAGTTGTCGTAATAGTAACAGTGTTCCTGATGATAAGCAGGCGTGGTTGCAGCAGTGATACTAGCAGTAATGACTAAGTGGTTATATTATATACACGAGGAGTGACAGAAGTACTCGCATTAGTTACTAATGCAAAGTAGTTATAACATCAGGAGTGGTTGCAGTAGTGTTAATAGCAGTATTGTAGTAGCTATAGCAGTAGGAGTATTTTCAGTAGTGATAGTAACAGTAATGACCCATACTAAGTAGTTATAACAGTAAGAATGATGGAAGTACTCGCAGAAGCATAATATATGCTGAGCTTTCGTGTATTCTCCGAAAGCAAGCGTTATTGACTTCCAAATAAACAAAATCCTGGCAAGTTTCTGTTTCTCGGCTTGTCCGCCTTTCACTATTCAGCTTTATTCCTATTCATGACACTCATAAGCTAACATGACTCGTACTAAGAATTGCATATTAAAATCTATTGCTCCACATGTACAAAGAATCCGTTATATTTTTAAATATATATGAAGTTTTCTGTTTACTGCTTTAATACATGATGCCGGTGATTCAATCCAAGTTGAATGAATTCACAGCAAAGTTATACAAATTGATTTTTGTTTCTTTACTTTTTTTATGGTTTTTTTTTTTGAAAATTTTTATTACATTTCGTTTTCTTTTCCATTTTGTTACTATTTTGGTGTCTGGCAGCTATGAAATCATTTTTACACCCTCCAAGTATATAGAAACATCAGAGGGTGGTCTGGTAATTATATCAATTAACGAGGGAGATGGTGGACGTTATGACAGTTATCTAGATGGTACACTGCTGTGCAGTTATAGCGTCAACGTGGACGCACATAGGTAAGTATAAATAGAAAAGGAAAATAAAAGGAATTTTTAATTTTGATTACATTACACAATTATGTAACTAACTGTATAAAGACATGACTTATGAACCATTTCTCTATATGACTTCGTAAAGGGAAGAAGAATATTCGCTAAACTATTGCAATTATTAAGCTTTTCTATATATGTACGTATTCTGTGTAATGTCAATAGTGTGCAGCGCGACATACATACAGTAGTGACTGTAAAATGTAATTTTAATTAATAAAAATCGGAAAATGGCAAAAGAGAGAATAACACAACGTTTATCAATTATGAAGGGTTTCGTAATTTTTTCGTCTTCTTCTTTTCGCTCATATAGACTTGTATTGATGTGTACGCTAGTACTGTGTACGCCGAGTAAATTTGTAGTCAACATCGGTAACTTTTATGTTTATATTGATTTCTCTTCCATGTAAACTGTCAGGCAATTATGAACGCCTTTCCTTTCGTTCATTTCATTTCCGTTAACATTTTTCCTTAACAAATATATTTCTCCCACCATTTCTTCTACGGAGCAGTCATTCTACACTGTGTTGCCTTTTTATTAATTTTTTTTATTTTGTTCCTTTTGTTTCGTTATATAGAGCGCACGTTGTGTATTTGAAGGTTGTGGCCATCATTTTCTCTCGCTCTCTCCCTCTCATATCCTTATAGCAATTACTCTTCTTTTCGTTTAAACTAAATACTTTTTATTAATGATGATTTTAAACTGTTTACTAATGTTAACGTTTTCCGTTTAATTTCTTCTTTAACGTAACGTTTTATTTATAAATTTCTTCATTTCTTGGCAGATGCACGCCGCCCTCAAAGAAAAACGATTATCAGAAAATTTACTCACACTGGTGTAATGAGTTTGAGAAATACAAGTCAGCCATGAAACAATGGCAAGCCAAACAAGAGGTAAGTATTGCAAGACGACGTTTTTTGTTAACTATTTACCCACCTACAACGTTTGGTCTTAAAAACATTTTTCAGGCGGTAAATTAACATTTTGTAATAATTTCCCTTATTCAGTAGAGAGTAAATTAATATTCTTTTGATATAAATTTGAAAGAAAATTTTAAGAGATAACTACTAAAAAGCAATTTTTTCTTTTCCAAGTTTTTATAAGTAGATTATAGACAAAGTATTCAGACTTGAGCATTTTTGCTTGAGTGATGTACAAAAAGCAGCGTTTAAATCATTTACTTAAGAATAGGTTCGAAAATTTGAATGAAAATTTTGCAGAAAAGCAAATTAAGGGAGTTTTACTTAGTGTCGATTAAAAAATCTCATGAGATATATTTAAAATCATGCATGAAAATTTCAACAAAATCAAATCATTAAAGAAACAAAACCTAAACAATTATATTAAGGATTTCCCCTTTGTATCTCGTTTGCAACTCGACATTGTATACCTTACCCCAACTCCTATGTTGAGTTTGATAATTATATGCAGGTGTCCTTAATATAATTCATCTTACAAGAAACTAGGATTTAGTAAAGAGTTATATCACTTAAAAAAAAGTAAGAGCAAAATGGTCGGGCATGGCCAGCCATTAGTGACCCGCCTCTACTTTGCCTAATCTAGTTATTCATTCAAATTTGTGATAACACACCTAAAATTATACTTTATTTTTGTATGTAAAGGCCTACTCTTCATATTGGAGGGTGAATAGCATATGAACTATCTTGGAAAGCTTAATTTACTTGTCAAAGATTTTATTATTTTTCCTTTGTATTCGTCATAAAAATTACAAATTAAAATTTTGTCGCCATAGAAGGGCTTGCTTTACACAGAGGACCCGGTATATGCACATAAACCAATAGGATCCAAATTCCTTGTGAGCGATGATGTCGAAAAAAAAAGACCTACCTTACCAACCAACCTTCCTCATCAGATATGGACAACTTTGCCTAATAGAGATTATTTTTCATCAGAACCCTTATAAAAAAGTGACCTACGAGGTCTAAACTCGGTAAGATTAACTTCTAGGGAAAATTACTATTTATGAAAGAATTTTCCTCAAGAAGTATTGAAAATTAGGTCTTTTGATCATGTAAAGCATCAGTTTCCATAGCAACGGTTATTTTACTGGCGATTAAAAAAATTACCCTATTCGCACCGGTTTGTAATGCCGAAGTACTGTTACTAAGCGATTTGTCTATTGCGATATTCGCAATATTCACGCAATAACTTTTCCAATAACAAAATGTTACATAAGGAATGATCGAAAAATGATCCGATCTGAACCATTTTCAGTAGCATTCGTCATTGCGTCCACACATGTCAATGTAGAAAATTTTATCAAAATATATCGCGAAAATTGCCGCCTGCAGATTGGACACGATTAAACGAGACAGGCAGACGGACAAATAAGTGACATCGGTAGAATAAAAGGCGTTTCTATCTGAAGTCCTTCTAAGTGTTATATAGGTGCGTACTAACTTGATATACTCTTCTATCACTTGTTGTGGGCGTATAGTTGGATATAATGTACATCAAGGCAATAAGTTATATCGAAACCGAGCGTTAAAGCGTAATCTTTTATGATAGCTCGAATTTTGTTCCAAACAAACATACAAATGAGAGAGTAAGTCAGCTGCAAGTTTTTGTAAAAAAAATAAAAAAGCATCAAATACGAAAATTAAAAATATATTCAAAAAACAATAGTAATGACGATTGCATAATTAATTTTCCTCAAAAATTACAGCGAATCTATATTTGTTGTCAAAGAAGGTGAAAAGTCCTCCCAATAACCGTAAAATAAAAGCAAAAAGCAATTTAAAAAAATATCCCCCGGGACACGTTTTCGATTGTTATATCATAGACCACTTGTGATACAGGGACATGTTGAGTATGTGCGGCTGTATGCAAGATCCGAAAGAAAGTGAAATAGATCTACCATTCATTATACCGATCGATTCAAAATCGCTTTCTGAGTCGATTTAAGCTTAAGCTTACGTACGTTCCGGCCGTCCGTCTTGCTTTATTGGGTTCGACATACTGGTAGAGCTTTTGGAAATGGATAAAATTTGGTACATTGACATGATTTGCCTCAAGCCTATTGAAAATGGTTCGGATCGGATCAATTTTTCGACCACTTCCCACCTAAAACCTTATAATGCAAACCTTAAATGAAGTCGTGTAGGGTTTTTGTCACTAAAGCGTCCCGTGTCACTATCGTGCTTTCGCTTGTTTCAAGCTGTACTTAACAAGTACCATGTTATACGAGGGACGACTGTCATATATATAGTTTTTACATTATAGAGCCCCTAACCAAGCCGGATTTCCTCATACGTTGTTTCTTTTAGAGATTAGTCTTCGAATTTATTTCGCTCGCTGAACTAATTATAATCGTAACAATAATATGCATTATACATACCATTAATATATTTTATGTTTATCAACTTTAAACGTTAAAGGATAAATAAAAGTAAAATAAAAAGACAATTAGAATGAAAAGGTCTTCGCTTGAGCTAAATCAGGTAATACCTACTTTGGTACGATATTTAAAGTAGAAGGCCGTGCCTGGCGGCAGCAAGATATATTTACACGATTTTTCTTATATATTGATGTTTATAATATCATGTTACAAACATGTTTACTTGTTTCTGTTTGAAGTCTTTCTTGAGTATAAAATGCTTTATCTGAGAGCAAATGTGTTGTGGCTTAGGGCGAGTATTTAGTTATTCACAATTGGCTTTTATTTATTGTCTATTGCAGGTGTAATAACCAGAAACATACACAAGCTATGCATGATTGCTTGGACGTTATGCAATAGCCATTTGTGTTCTGGGTGGTCGTCACGGGAGGGAGGGTTAAATCTTGTTTTATGTAAAGAAAATACTTTTTTGAAATATTTGAAAATTTTCACGAAATGAGAAATAGGAGGATACACCTTTAATGTGCTCATACTTTGGTGAATAATTGTAATCTAATGAGCGAAAAATATATTCACTGGCATAAGTGCAGGCGGATCCCCGTTCATGCGTCTAGACTCGTGATCGTGCCAATCGGCATAAGTATCTCTTGGGATTTTGCTACATTATGTGGAATCCAACGAGAAAATATCTTTTTCACGGCTAAACGATCATACAATCTTTTATATATGTCGATGAAGTTAATCTCTAGGATTGTCTCAATCTCGCAGTACATGCTTCATGAGTTTTGCTGGTGAGGAAACTGTGGCCACGATTTAATTCGCTATGCAGACGTTTCACAGCTACCAGGGGATGCGCTGTCAAATGTGGAAATAGATTGATCAATTAACCCTCCTCTTGATAAATTTTCAGTTGTCTGTAGGCAAAAAAATCGCGGTAAAAAAGTGAAACTTTCTTGCAGAAACAGCACGCGACACCTAAGAGTATTGTCTTGGACCTAGGCACGTAGTTCAATATTTTTGCTAAAGTTATTCACTCGTAATTTGTCCATAATCAGGATCATTAACGTGAGTAACTGTGTGGTCGCAACGCCGATGCTATGAGGGATTATATGTAAGAGTGTATACCTCAAAACCCATAAAAAATCCTCCCTTGTACCTTAATGCGACAATCGCTTTTTCTCGCACCACAGCAATAGTTAGTCTTTCTTGTTATCTTAAGGACTTTTGTGCAAAAAATACAGTTGAACCAATTATTTCTCACATTCTTATGACACGTGTTTGATTTTTTTTTTCAAAAGAAAGTTCTGAAGGACCTTTTTCGTCCGCCTACTTTTAGAGAGCCCAGCAAAAGGGACTCCCTACGAAAAAGCGGTTGCCATTGTTGCTAGCGGCTGGTAGACTGTTTTTCAAGGCCACTTTCGCTTTCAAGTAAGTGTGCTCTGAAACAAATCTGTATGAAACTTATTCGGGAATCGGGAATCTCAAGGCCCGTAAGTTGTTAACGCGATTTTCCTTTTTTTAGTTTGTGCGGCTATAGCAACTGCATAGAAAACTCCGTCAATATGAAGCTTTGCGACTTTGATGGATATGGGTGTAAATAATTTATAGTGAATAGTGGTTGTAGTGTTGATAAATCCACCCATCGACACTAATAAATTTCTCCTTTCCTTAATGGACACGTTATTTACTTTATTAAACGCAGTTATAAAATTTAATTACATCGCACATTTAACATTTCTAATTGTTTTTAATTAATTTTACCCCATCATATCGCTAGGGTGAGGTTGTATGTGTACACGTGGATATGTTTGTAGTCGTAATGAATACAACCTTCAACGGTTGTTTTTCTTTCATTTTTTTTTCATAACCTTTCTATGTTGCACTTAATCCAAGTGATATTAATTATAAAACGAAATATAAGAAAATGTGAGTTAAAAAACATTCACAGGCACGTGCTCACATATCTATATGTCTTTCAATAACAAATATATTTTTCAGATCACACAACACTGACAATGCTTTCAACAATATCGACCTTTTAAGCTTGACGTTCGTACGATTGCGAGGAAATAAAAAATATTATTATTATTATTATTAACTTAGCCAGAGCAACCAATTCTAAGGCTATAGTCGTCTTAACACGCTAGCACCTTAAGCTATCGACTTTACTGAAAACTTGAAATTTGATTTCCCGACGACACGATTAAGTTATTAGTCGAGGTTCATTGCCTACTCGGCCATTCAAGCGGACAAAATGAAATACATTTTTTAATAGACATGAATAAGATTGAATTCATATTTGAATTTTACTTTTTCGAAATTTTTTTATGAGGCCACGTCACCTGTTAGTCCACATTCTAATAGCTTAGAGGCCTTCTGTATTACCACTCTGATGATGAGCAAAGACGATGCAATTTAGTGCGGATTCGAACGTTGCCGTTTGTAACCATTTGCTGCTCAAGTGCATTGAGAAGGGCTTGAGATAAATTAATCCAACTAGGCTTGTCTGTCCGTCTTGTAGTCTTACGTTTTACAAGGATGTATACGACACACAAGGACAAGAACTTCGAACAGATTCACCTTTTATCAGGCTTGTCTGTCCGTCGCTAATTCTTATGTTATTTCTCGGTTTATGTCGATATGTAAAACCCTTGCAAAGACACTTGAGGTAGAGCCATCTCTTATTAAGCTTGTCTGTCCGTCTTGTCTTCTAATACGAAATTTCCAGTTCATTCGGACATGACAACACCCACAAAGCTGCTTGAGGTAGACCCACTTTTTATTAGGCTTGTCTCTCCGTCTGTCCGTCTTATGTTTTTATAAGCAATTTCCACTTTATTCCGACATATACAACAACCAATGTAACAGTACCCACAAAGAGACTTCAGATAGAGCTACCTCTTATTAAATTTGTCCGTCCGTCTTGTATTATTATGTTCAATTTTCGGTGCATATGTGCAATACCGACAAAGACTACCTTACGTTCTCGTGTCCAATCTATACAACGCAATTTTTTAAATACTTCAATAACATTTATTTAGAACCAAGCCAAATGCTATTGGGAACGGTTCAGATCGGAAATTTTTTTCCAATCCTTTCCCATATTATCGTATATTTTGGATATGTGTTGTATGAAAAATATAAGGCGTTTTGAGAAGCTGTACTGATCGAAGTAGTGTAAGATATTTAGTGTGGGTAGGCTGTGACCTCGTATTATAATGTTTTTACGTATTTTTTCTAAATTCAAGTGAAAATTTAAAAAAATTTTTGAAAAATTTTTAAAAAATGTTTAATTTTTCTATACTTTCAGCAATGTAATGTGAAAGACAAATCAAACGGAAAACACTTAAATGAAGTCTATAGTAATGATAACATAGTCTGACTGCATGGTAAATATTTATTAATTAATATAACTAAGTGAAATAAATATTTTTTAATATTTGAAATAAAAAAGGACAAAAGATATTTTTATTTTATACAATTTTCTCTAATCTTTCATTGCAGATATCAATATTAATTACTAAAGACTGACAAAATTTTGTTTTAAGCTTTTAAAAGACAATATTTCTTAATTACTTAAAAAAAAAAAAAAAAAAAAAAAAAAAAAGAGCAGCAAATTCATTAAATATTATTTGCTTTGTTTTAACAACACATAATAACAATAGTCAACAAACTCTTTAAAAACGCTAGTGTTAATCAAAAGAATTTTAAAAGATTTTCTCAAAAAAAAAAAAAACAAAAAAATAAAAAAAAAAAGATTTTAAACAGGGAGAAATACTAAAACAAATAAGTTTTCTTTCAAATTCACACAAAGAACGGCGCTGCAGAAATGAAGAGTGAATTGAATGAGAGAACAGAACAAGTAAAAGAACTTTATTCGTCTTAGGGCGAATTTCGCATACGAGCCACCCGTGCTTTAAATCGTAATTTCAGCCATAAAATTAAAACAAAATTTAGTTTATGGTCGATGTCAGTTCCATCAGTTGACCTTGTTTCCTTGATAATCATTTGTGAATAAGAAAATTCTTTTTTTTTTTGCTTTTCCGCCCTAAGAAATATTGAAATTTTGGATTTTTTTTTTTTTTTGTTTTTTTGTTTACTGAACCTTGCTCGGGTATATGAGAACGCATTCAAAAATTTTTAGTCAAGTTTTGTTTTAAATTTTCCATTACAAGTAGAAAGGTGCCCATATGGATATATGGATGAATTGATAATAAGAGAGTCTCTGATATACATTATCGGGTGGTGAGTATAAAAAACACATCAGCATTTAAAGTTACTAAACGAAAATAAAAGAAACAAAACTCACAAAATCCTGCCAGAAATCGTAGTAGAAGAAATAGGGACTAGAGAAATAGAGAAAAAGCGGAAAACTAACGAATACAGACAAATACATTAATAGATCAAAAAGGAAGAAGAAGAAGAAAAAATACTTTTATCCCAAAATCAAATTTAATTTTTAAAATATTTTCCATATAAATACATTCTCCGAGTGGAGAATCTACTTACCCACCACTGCAGATCATCTCTTTACACTGAATACACTTTTCTCTGATCCTAATGCCATTTGGAAGGAAATAAGGAATAAGGGAAGGATGGACTGCTTTTACTTTCAATTCGTTTTACATATGGAAAAAGTGGAAAACAAAAGCGGAATGGGTTCGAAATTTATTTCTGAGTGTATCTTATTCAAGAAGATTTTAGAAAAGTTTTCATTTGTCCTTCAAAAACGTTCCACTATTTGCCCATCAATTGAATTTGTTTTCAAAGTTAATACGACACAGTACGCCTCAACTTGCTGTATCTAACGCATGTAAAATGCGTTGTACACCTCGAGATTTTTAAATTAATGCCCTTAGCGCATATCGGAGGCAATAAATGCGACTCAGCACTACATGGACTGGATGACTCACTCACGAATTAGACATTTTAATAAAAGTTGAGCTACGTGTTACATAAAGTTGATGTTTTTCCATAACCCTTGGTCTGGGTGTAGTTTAATGAAATTCAGCATCATTGGGTGCACGTCATTGTGCTTACGCAGGCACTGCAACACGAGCCTAGATGTCATTGTTTGCTCTTTCAGTGCTTTTAGCTTGGCTTGCAGATTAGCTGTCCCTTGCTTTTCCTTCTTAGGCAATCAAGGAGACACGGAGAGATTGTATACACTTCTGCTTCGAATATAGAGAGAGTGTATTTTAGTGGAATGGCCTTTGGCGTTGCAAACATCTGCACAAACTTGTACCGCCAGCGGTATGGATTATAAAGATATTGGTCCCAATTTGGAGAACTGAGTCGTGTTAAATAGGAGGGCAGAGGTAAAAACGAAAGCAACCGCATTCCTTCTTACAATTTTTCTATATTTAAGCTATTATTGTGCGGCTAATGACTGCGTTCAATAGGTTCCCAAAGTGATTTTCAGTAAATCAAAGGTGAACAAGTTTCCACGCAGTGCATGTACATTCGAACATAGTTTCAGCGAACGGAAAGGAAAGCTGGAAAGATCGAACCTTGATAGGTAGATGAATGAAGACATAAGCGTTTCAGAGGTGAGAAAAAAGTTCGGAGAACCCGATAGTCGTGGGTACAAAGAAACAGATGGTTTTCAAAAATTTTAAACGAGTTTTTTAGCCGACTCATTTTATTGCGCTTCTCTTCTCCAAACTCGAAAATGTTTACATTTACACTTACAGGCGTACGGAAGACACATTAAACCACCTACAAATATAAATAGAATTAATTCATTAGCAAGCAAAAACCTTTTTCGCCATTTTATTGATTTTTGTTTTGTTTTTTTTGTTTCTCAAAAACGTGAAAGAAATTCTTAAAAAAATTTATTTATGTTAAAAAAAAAAAAAAAAAAAAAAAAAAACAGTATTAAAATACATAAAATGTTAGTGTTGAATGAAAAAAAAAAACGAACATTTTAGTAATTAGATATTTTTAATTCCTATGGACCCTTTTTATATATATAAGATATAACTTTAAATAAAATGTAAATTGAAAACTGAAATTGAATTTAAGCTTAAATAAATTTAAAACGTAATAATAATATGAGAAATCTAACTGTCCTCTGCTAAATCCTTAGTTAAATACTTAATAAAAAGATAATAAAAACTAATCAAGTAAATAAATAAAAAATAATTCTCCTCCCTCTCCCTGTACATATTATCTATAAATAAACTGGAGCTTATAAGTCTTTAATACTAAGCTAGTATAACTTGTACTTTTTTTATTTTTAATTTTTTTTTTTTTAGAAATTTTCTTAATTTTCTTTTCATGTTTGTTTTGTTTTTCTTTCCTTTTTTTTTTCATTTCGTCGGCTTAATACGTGAAAGAAAAATGATTATATATATTTAAAGCTTGTAAATTTTCTAACTAAACTTATATAAAAACAATCCTCTCTCTCAAAATAATACAAAAAAAAAAAAAAAGAAATATTTTTTATAACAACAACTTTTATTCAAGCAAAACGAACAGAATTAAAATATTTTAAAATAATAAAAAAATTCCTAACTCTTAGGTAATAACGAGACACATCTATGCATATATATATCTACATATATATGTATATATATATATATATATATATAAAGATATAAAATATACATATGTACGTATAAATAGTTTGAAAAGAGCTCTGATTTCTCAATATCATTTAAACTATAATCCTACTCTTGTGTATATATTTTGTAAAATATTAAAAAAAAAAATAAAAAAAAATATATTAAAAATAAATTTAAACGAAGCGTAAAATTTGTCATTTGTTTATTTCGACTATTCGTAAAAAATTAACGATGCCTAGCGATTTACCGATGAAAAGTTTTCATATATGCATATATATATATATACACATATATATAGATATACTATAGGTAAAATTTGAAATTTTGAAAAATTTTTACCTGAAACTTTTGCCTGAACCAAAGAGGTAAGTTCCGCAAACTAACTAACCTTTTAACTAACAGTATATATATGTATAAGTTTTATAGTCTCTTGTACTTTTATCGAAACGCGTAGTAACTTATCCGGTTTATAATAGTGAATAAGTAAGAATCCTGTAGTGATACATGGCCGTACGCCACTTTGCTGATCCCATTTATTCACATAACAACGACGATTTTTTAATAGCGCAATGACGACCTGTCGGTTGAATCTACGAGCATACACCGGACAGACGGACCGACAAGCGTAAATTGATGTAATAAAAAGTAAAAGGGCTATCCTAAGTCCTTCCGGGTGCTGCGTACATTCGCACAAGCTAAACATTCCCTTGTACAGCAAGTGGTGTATGGTATAAAAAAAAGAAACCAAAACCGAAACCATTTACCGTCTCTTGGGTTTTGTTGCTTACCGCAAAGTTTGTTTGAAATCCCAGACAACATCTTTGTAATTTCTAGCGGTTTGGCGTTTGCTCATGCTGTTTCAAAAGAAAGGGAACAAATATAAATACAAGATACAAAGCAGACTTTTTCTATGCGTTACTGCGTTCCTTTAAAACTTCGAAGAAACAAAGTTTTCATTTTATTTCTATGAGGAAAATTTCATGCAAATCACGCTGTGAAAGTTTTTTTGTGAACTTTTATATAGTTAATAATACTCTAATAGTCATATCAACTTGCAGCATCGTTTCAGGTAATATTTCAAAATTATTTTTACTTTGCCGTTCACCGCAGAGCTTTCGCGGTGTACTGTTGCTCCAATTTTATACCAGAACAAGTGTAAATTCTTCGCAGCGTTTCGCGCTGAAGCTCGGAGTCATTGAAGAATGTAAATTAACTCTGCCTTTTGCCCGGGCTGAGGCTACAGTTTGCACTTGGAATGCGACTCTCGCTACATCCAAAAAGCTGTATAGACACTGTAGCGTTCTGTCTTAAGTTCAAAGTTATTGAAGAATGCAATGGTTTTGGTTAAAATGTTTTGAAATACAGCAAGTAACTGTGTACCAAAATAGGCCTATATTGGTCCCAGCCATTGAATAACCAAGGTCAAAATAATCAAAAAATGCAACCGAAAGCTTCCGTTCCAGGGTAACTGGTGACTGCTTTCTTCAAAATCCAGTTTGGCTAGATACGTCAGATAATTAAATTTATTGCTCCGAGGATGTTAAGCGCAAGTTACTTCTTATTGATGTCCTTTTGGTAAACGTAAGAGTGACCCCGTTTTGTCGACTTAATTAAAATATATTTAGGCAAACTTCGATATCTGGAGCTATGATGCTATTATCAGCAGAAAATCCTCTACGGCAAAACGCAGCTTCTGTGTTGTAGCTTATAAGAGTCGCTTATTCTTATGGGACTAAGAACTTTTTTCAAATATGTTTTTCTTTCTTTTTCAAAGTTCGATGTCTTGAAATTTTTGATAATTTCGTGATCCATTCAGAATGTGAGCCATTATCATAAGTTGGTAAGTTTTGTATTGATTTTCACATTACCCGAAGATAAAAAGCAATTTGTAGTCACTTTGGCTCTCCAAAACCACTTCTCTGGGTTGTGAGATTTGAAGGCCCGGAAGATTCAAATATTGTAGATATGCCCATGTCTCAAACAATTTTAGAAAGCGGATCAAAAACTTGTTTACTTC